TCTGGTCTTACATTTAGATCTTTAATCCATTTTGAGTTTATTTTTGTGTATGGTGTTAGAAAGTGTTCTAGTTTCATTCTTTTACAAGTGGTTGACCAGTTTTCCCAGCACCACTTGTTAAAGAGATTGCCTTTTCTCTATTGTATATTCTTGCCTCCTTTGTCAAAGATAAGGTATCCATAGGTGCGTAGATTTATCTCTGGGCTTTCTATTTTGTTCCCTTGATCTATATTTCTGTCTTTGTGCCAGTACCATATTGTCTTGATGACTGTAGCTTTGTGGTATACCTGAAGTCAGGCAGGTTGATTTCTCCAGATCTATCTGGAGGATGCACTCACCACTATCTCAGTTAGGTATGTTTACCTAATTATTTGATTGTTGTCTATCTTCCCACAACTAGAATGTCACTGCATGAGAGTTTGGTTCTGATTATTGTGTATTTGCAGAGCCTTGATCAATGCCCAGCATGTGGTAGGTGCTCCTTAAATATTTGAGTAGATTTCTTAAAAAAGGGGGCTTTCCTGGTGGCTCAGACAGTAAAGAATTTGCCTGCAGTTGGGGGAGACATGGGATTGATCCCTGGGTTGAGAAGATCCTCTGGAGAAGGGAATGGCAACCCACTCCAGTATCCTTGCTTGGAGAATCCCTTGGACAGAGAAGCCTGGTGGGCTATAGTACATGGGGTTGCAGAGAGTCAGACATGACTGAGTGACTAATACTTTAAAAAGTAGACCTTGTTGACCAATACTCCATCAAAATCATTGGGGCAGAAGATGTTGTAGGTAAGTATAAGATGTCTGTTTTCTGCAGTCGTACATGCATGCTCATTCACTCAGTCATGTCTGACTCTTTCCCTTCTCCAGGGGATCTGCCCAACCCAGGGACCAAACCCCTGTCTCCTTGGTCTCCCACATTGGCAGGTGGATTCTTCACCACTAAGCCTCTTGGGAAGCCCCACCTGTAGTAGATATGTCCCTATTGCAGAAACAGACATGTCCGTGTCTCCAGATACATCCTTTTTATACCTCCCTTCACTGAGAGCTCCCCCACACCCTCCTTCACTCAAAACTCCCTCACCCCTTCCTTCATGGGCTTCCCACGTGGTTCAGTGACAATCCACCTGCCGATGCAGGAGATGCAAGAGACAAATTCAACTCCTGGGTTGGGAAGATCCCCTGGAGTAGGAAAGGGCAACCCATTCCAGTATTCTTGTCTGGAGAACTCCATGGACAGGAACCTGGCAGGCTACAGTTCATGGAGTCGCAGAGAATCAACACAACTGAGCATGCATGCACCCTGCCCTCACCCAGAATTCCCACATATCCTTCTTCACGGAGATTTCCCTCATCCCCTCCCTCCCAAATATTTTACTATCTTTGCTACTTCTTTGAGCATTGTTTTTCAAGTTGTAGATTGTGACCCATTGTTGTTCAGTCACTAAGTCATGTCTGACTCTTTGTGACTCCATGGATGACCCATTAGCAAGTCATAAAATCAATTTGGTGGGTGAGACCAGGATTTTTTTTAATGAAGCAGAGTACATAATTTCAGTGAATTCAGTAGTAAATGTATTTTGTGAAACTGTCCAGGAAGCATTATTTTTTAGGGTAAGTATGTTTCATAAAACTTCTCAGTTATATCTGTATGTGTACTAGGCCTGACATAAAGTGTACTTCTTAGTGTAGGTTGGGGTCGGAAAAGCTTGAAAGCTGTTCTGAGTCAATGTATTGAATTCTGTTAAAGGTAATAGTCTTTGGCATGCAGAGACCTGGGTAGAGAGTTAAGACATTGCTGTGAATGGATTCTGAATGTAAATGGGTGTTGGGAGATAATATCTTAATTTTATAGAGATAGAGATTATGACACAGTAAGAGAGCCTGGCTATCTGCAAATGGGGATTATAAGAGGGAGAAAAGATAATGAAAGGGGGAGGTTGTCAGCCACCAAGTAGGGGTCCATTTCATCCTGTTATTTCTCAGATAAGCATGCCCAAATGAGTGAAATCAATTATTAAATAAATACTTTGACCAATTCTCCAGGCAGGAATACTGGAGTGGGTTGCCATGCCCTTCTCCAGGGGACACCTAAAGTTACAGTATCCAGGTATTAGCAGGGTGACCTATCTGGTAGGCACAATGGCTAGGGCCCCTGAATTTTTAAGGTCTACAAAAATGTTTTAGTTTCTTTAAAAAAAAAAAAGAATCCAACTTCAATATTTTCATGGTTATACCAATGCAGTAGCAACTTTTCATGGAGTAAGGGGCCCACAAAAGTAAAGGTGCCTGAGACCCATGAAAGTCCTAAGCAGCTCTGATTATGAGGGATATCAGAATCATTTGAGGGGCTTACTGAGAATGCAGATATCTGGGTACCATTCTAGAGAGCTATAGAATCTGACTCCTTTGGAATGGGCCAGAATTTGCAGTCTCAGCAAGCACCTCAGGTACTTCAAATAGCAAAGAAGTTTAAGAATCTCTGGCCCTGGAGTAGACCAAGACCTAACACAGGCTCAAAAGTGGGCTTGTTTTAGCAGGGGCTACTGATGCTGAAGCTGAAACTCCAGTACTTTGGCCACCTCATGCGAAGAGTTGACTCATTGGAAAAGACCTTGATGCTGGGAGGGATTGGGGGCAGGAGGAGAAGGGGACGACAGAGGATGAGATGGCTGGATGGCATCACCAACTTGATGGGCATGAGTTTGAGTAAACTCCAGGAGTTGGTGATGGACAGGGAGGCCTGGCGTGCTGCGATTCATGGGGTCGCAAAGAGTCAAAGACATGACCGAGTGACTGAACTGAACTGAACTGACTGAACTCCTTACTAAAATATTAGCTCTCCTTACTAAATAGCAGTAGCTATTATATATTTACATATAATATATATATTATTTATCATACTATTTATTATATAATGTGTATTATATTTAGCTACTGCTAAATACTGAAGGGCAAATCTGCCCTTCAGATTTGCTGAGCTAAAGCTGTACTATGCCCTTCCTGTAACTTTCAGTTAAATGTTATTAATACTCTGAGGATCTCTTGATGCTGTCATGTTTAATTGTGGTCTTTTATCAGCAGTGACCTGTGTTTATCATCAGGCTCTCCTGTATTTGCCCTTAAGGATAAAGATGTTTAATCACCAAATAACATCTTCCAAGTATTTTATTCAAAAAGAAAGAAATGATATTTATTGTAAAAAAATTTTATTATAGTTGATATACAGTATTATATGTTACATATATACAGTATAGTGGTTCAGTTTTCAAAGGTTATACTCCATATATAGTTATTATAAAATATTGGCCATGTTCCCTTTGTTGTATAATATATTCCTTAGATTGAGGGTAACTGTAACATTTATGGACTGCATCTCTGTCATACTTGGTGCAGTACACCCTGATATTCAGCCTTGCCTAAGTTAACCAAACCACTGAAGAACAAGTAAGACAGCAGATCTCTCCATTTTATTTCTTATATTCACTGTCAAGCCCAAGTTCAGATGCCAGTGTCTAAGAAGTCACTCCTAAGCAATAAGGAGTCTTTGCCAATCCACTTAAAAAACAGCAACAGCAAGAAAAATTTCAAGACGTCTGTGTTTAATGAAGTGGCCACTCTGGCCCCTCAACCTCCTCTACTTGAAGTGCAGGTGTTGCTCCCTGAGGCCAAGAAAGAGTGCCTGTATCCTCCTGGTGACCCCTACCATCCAAGTTCACCATCTGTCCTGGCTCCCCATGGGCATAACTCTGGCCTCTTGGGCTTCAGAACTTCAAAATGAAGAGCCTCTACAGTGAAAACCAAAGCCAGAAAGGACAAGACCATGGAAATATGAGGATAATACACACATTGTCTGAGATGTTCCTGAGTCAGTAACTTTAATCTCGAGGCCATGTTCTACAGTAGGAAGATCAAAGGGCTTGATGACACAGAGACCCAGATTCAGTTGCTGGCTCTCAGGGCTATTATGCAGGGGACCTCAGGCAAGGAAGCTTCTCATGCTCTAAGCATCAGTTTCTTCAACTTTAAAATAGGGTATAATTCTTACAAAAGTGTTCGGGGGAATAAAATAAACACTGTGTGAAAGCATGTATTATACTACATGGTACAATATAGGCACTAAATAAATAATGTTTGAATCTGAAATTTACTTAGGGAAGTTATAAAAGAAACTTTCATTACTATCCAATAGATAGGGAGTTAGCAAATTAGTAATATGACTGCTTAATTCCTTTGGTTTATTTATGCCTAAGGCTTTAAAATCATCAAAAGTTAGGCTGCCAAGGAAAATAAGCTATTTAATACACTTAGGTTCATTTAATCTTAATATAAGGGTTTCATACTGAAGACACAGCAGGCATTACCCCCCTTTTTTTCTGCTGGGCAGAACTAAGACCACGAATAGAAGTTACAAGAAGGCAGATTTGGGTTCATCATGAAAAAGGACCAGTTGGAAACAGGGCTGCTACACTGCACAACTCCGTGGGACATGATTCACCTAGTCCCCAAGCTAGACCCCAGCCCCTGGACTGTGCAGGGCACAGCAACACTGCAGTCCCAGAGCCCTGACCAGAGCAGTGCCATGTGTCACAGCTGGTTTGAGAAGAATACAGTTCCCTGTGATGGAATCTCTTCAGTTTGCAGCAAAGTGACAATAAGTCAAGGGTGTTGAAGTGGTCAGGAGTCTGACTGGGACTTCTTCATTCTTAGTTTATAAAATACTTGTAGAGCATCCATTGTACATTAGGCACAGACCTCAGCCCAGGGATAAAAAAAATTAGACACCATTCCTGCACCCAGGGAAGACAGCAGCCCCACCCACTTAGTAAAACTGTGCTCCCCACAGTAGTTTGGGGTCCTGACATGACACCATGTATGGGGGATAATACGGTGCTCCCCACAGCAGTAATGGGGTCCTGACATGTCTGTCAGTGGCAGCTGAAACTGCGTCACCGTGTCCCCTGCCTTTAAGATTAATGTTAGTCTCTCCTTCCTGGAAGGAAATGACACACCTGTACTTCTACAGATTTGATGTCCATGATTAAGGACACAGTGCTAACAGTTATCAGATCTAAATTCTCAAATTTATTGCTCTCAATATAGGTTTATTCCAGTTATGAAAGAGAGGCTGGAGAAAGTCTTATTTCAGTGACAAAGGTCCTTTGATCTTAGAAAAAGCTGTTAAGAGAGAAAAAGAAAAAAAAACACGACTACTTGCTTTACAGATATGTATAGATAAATAATATCTTCTGCAAAGGTTACCAAAATGTTACTGTCTAAAAGTAATGAGGTACTCTGGGTAAGCCTGGTAGTCATAAAATACCACAAATAAATTTGGCTTTTGCACACAATCTGTGACAGTGTCATATAAGTCAATAGGATTTTGGTGGTCCTTTGGAGGAGGCACAATTAATGATCTGTTTCCAAGTGTGTAGGATCCAGTGAGTACTCGCACATAATACATATGCTTCTTCCCGTTTATGTCTGGTCTGGAGTACACATCACTGGCGGAGTAACTGGCATTGACAGCAAAATAGGTTCCCTTTCCATATGCTGTAGCTGTGACGAGAAAAACAAACCATCCTTAAGGATTTCCAATTAGTCTATAATTTGACACACTGATTCAATATGTCAAATAATGTTAAAAATAATGTTTGGTTCTCTCTAAAGCCTCTTTTAAAAAGTTTTGTGTGTGTTTTTAATTTTTAAAAATCATTCCTCCACCCTGGAGGGCCAGTCAGTCCCTTTGGGATGAAATACACTGAGTCTAACCTAAAACTCTGGCTGTCACATAGCCCCCAACCATGAGAGAACACAGTGCCATCCACGCTGTCCCCAGCCAGCTGGAACTCTCATGGCTGACACCTCCTTCGAAGCAGCCAGATTGCGTGCTTCCTTACCATTCTTTCCAGCGTAACTGCGGTTAAAGCCTTTTCCGTTGACAAGTGCCACTGAGTCAGCATCTGTCCCATGGAAGAGCAGCTTCTCATTGGTCATCTGGCCATTCTTGGCATCCATGTTGTTTTTCTTTGTCTGATAGTGTTTCCAGAGCTCTGGATTCTGAATCCTCTCAATCTGCAAGTCAATAAGGAAAAATTTCCTGTCGGTGCTAAGAGTCCTTGGCAAGATACAGGAGATGAAACATGACCACTATTTTTCTTAAGTACAGATTACAATAAACAGCAAATTCAATGCCAGATGACACATTCTGCATTCAGAAATCTTTTTAGGTCTAGAGTTTCAGAGAAATAGGCCTAGGTAAGAATATTAATTTAATTTCCAACATCTTTTATGCACCATATGAGGGCAGACAATGTTTAGGATCGTAAGTCCTCAATAATATGAACTTGGCTGACCAAAGCCTCTCCAGCTTCTAACTGCTCCTGTTGCCATCTATCTCACTTTGTCACTTTGCTGCACTCCTCCCCAGTTCTGGGATACTGGTTTATCTAGCCATGTTCTAATAGGAGGAGAAGAACTAGAGTGTCTAGGCAAGAAGGAAATTAATTAATGAAAATTAATCTCTGGTCCAGTTGGAAGAGTGGAATGGGAGGGGATCTGGTTATAGACCAGAGTGGCCATACTTTGACCATACTCTTTGGCCTCCAGGATCATGGTGGAAACTCCTTGAGCCTTGGATTTCAGATCAATTTCTACATTCCCCTAATCACCAGGTAGTGGCAGTTTCATAAGGTTGACTTGGGAAAGAGTGAGGGGTGGGCAAAGGGGGCTAGGACCCTTATGACTAGGCACAAGGTGAAGGGTCTCTGTGGTCAGAATCTTCTAGTTCAAAGAACTCTCAAGTCTGACACTATTATTACATGTCTTTATCTGTTTTATTTTTTCAGTTTTGGTTTTCTTATTTAAGAGTTTGCCACTAGTTCCAGGTCTCAGCATTATCATGTATTTTGTTGATCCAATTTATAATCTTAAATTTTATTTTTCCTTTTGCCTACAACTAAGTTTTTAATCTTCAAACTGTCCACTTCCATTTCTATTTACTTTAAATTTTACTCATTTTACTCATTTAAGAAATAATTTTATTTATTTATGGTCCCGGGTCTTTGTCACTGTAACGGCTTTTCTCTAGTTGCGGCGAATGGGGACTACTGTCTGGTTGGGGGTGAGGCTTCTCATTGTGGTGGCTTCTCTTGTCGTGGAGCACAGGCTCTAGGGCATGCAGGCTCAGTAGTTGTGGCACAAGGGCTTAGCCACTCTATAGCATATGGGATCTTCCCAGATCGGGGATCAAACTCATGTCTCCTGCATTGGCAGGTAGATTCTTTACCACTGAGCCACCAAGGAAGCCCTATTTTACTCATTTTTTAAAGCCTTAAAATTTTATCCATATAGTTTTGAAACCTTTTAAAATTTATTTTTTAATTGAAAGATAATTATTTAAAATTATGCTCATAGTTCAATAAAAATATAAAGAAGACTGATACATTACCTGCAAAAAATTTTCCTGCAAAAACTTATCCGAATTTACCCAAGACTTTCAACCTAACTCTTTAAGTTTACCAGAAATAAAGAGGACAGAGGAATAACTTAAATGATTCCATGAGGAATCAGACAAATTAGAATCTATAAGAAAACTGCTTGGATTTTTAAAGAATCTAGGCAAGATAGAGTCAGAATGTGGAATATTCTACAACACAACTAGCTTAAACTCTTCTAAAGTTTCAGTATCATGAAAAATAATGTTTAAAAATGCAGGAGTACTATTCTAGATCAGAAGAGATGAAGGAGATATTAATATAATGATCAAGTGCAATGTGTGAATCCAGATGGAGGCAAGGGTTGAGGGAACATTATAAGAAAGCTGTTTTGACCAACTGGGGAAACTTGAATATTCACTCTCTATTGAATATTATTAAATAAAAATGCTAACTTTCTTACATGGGATAATGATATTTGTGCTATTTGGGAGGATGCCTTTATTCTTACAGCACGTGCTAAAATATTTAGAAGTGTCATGATATCTGCAACATTTCAGTTGTTTCAGGAAAAACAGAGAGCAAGGGGGAAGAAAGCAAATGTTACAAAATTGTTGAATCTAGGTGGAAGTTCATGAGTGTTATGAAATCTTAGTCACAAGACATGATAGTCATGGAGGATGACAGACCACCCATTTTTCATGTTAGTGTTTTTGTACTACAGATAACTTCACAGAGGTGCTTTTAAGTACAATCTAAAGCTCTGCTTTTACTGGTGTCATAGACCGAGATTTCACATAAGATTTTATTTGAGGGTTTCCCTGGTGGTCCAATAATTTAAGAATCCGCCTGCCAATGCAGGGGACATGGGTTTGATCCCTGGTCCAAGAAGATCCCACACACATGGGCCAACAAAGCCCATGTGCCACAGTACTGAGCCAGAACTCCAGAGACCATGAGCTGCAACTACAAGCCCATGCACCACAACTACTGAAGCCCGGGTGCCTACAGCATGTGCTCCTCAACGAGAGAAGACACGGCAACAAGAAGCCTGCGCACTGCAACTAGAGAGTTGCCCCCGCTCGTTGCAATTAAGAGAAAACCTGCATGCAGCAATGAAGACCCAGCACAGTCATAATAATATATTTTTAAAAAATATTTCATTTGAAAAGAGGGTTCCACTAGAAAAGAGTGAAGTCATTTCTCTAGTGAAGGTCTGTCAACATATGGTAAGCCTTCGGGGCCAACTGCAAACATTTCCGGTCAACTGGGTGATCCTGCTCAATCTAGAATTGGCATCTCATCACAGTGTGCCAGAGCCCGACCCCCAGAGGACTATAATTGGTATTTTGAATGAAACTTCTCCCAGAACCAGATCATCACTGAGCTGTGTACTTGAACTATATTTTCTTGGTACCACATAGAATTGTTCTGCTCAACAGGTTTATATAGAGGGATCTATCTATCTATTTGGCAAGCTTATTTTTTCTTCCAGTTTTATCGAGATATAGTTTTCATATGGGAGAAGGCAATGGCAACCCACTCCAGTACTCTTGCCTGGAAAATCCCATGGACAGAGGAGCCTGATAGGCTGCATTCCATGGGGTCGCTAAGAGTCGGACACAACTGAGCGACTTCACTTTCAATTTTCACTTTCATGCATTGGAGAAGGAAATGGCAACCCACTCCAGTGTTCTTGCCTGAAGAATCCCAGGGACGGGGAGCCCAGTGGGCTGCCGTCTGTGGGGTTGCACAGAGTCAGACACGACTGAAGCGACTTAGCAGCAGCAGCAGCAGTTTTCATACATATAGTACTGTATAAGTTTAAGGTGTACAACATAGAGAGTTGACTGAAATATATCATGAAACAGTCACCACAAGTCCAGTGAACATCCATCATTTCATAAAGATATAAAATTAATGAAATAGAAACAATTTTTTTCCTTGTGATGAGAACTCTAGGATCCACTCTCCTAACTATCACACATGACATAGTGTGTGAAAGCAGTGTTAGTTATATTTATCATGTTGTACATGACATCCCCAGGACTCTTTATCTTATAACCACAAGTTATACCTTTTGCCTACCTTTCAACCCATTCCCTCTCCTGGTACCCCCTGCCTCTGGCAACCACAAATCATCTCTTTCTCTATGATGAGTCTGTTAATTTTTGCAGTATAATTGACCTATAACACCATGCTAGTTCCTATTATATAACATAGTGATTCAATACTTAGATGTGTTTCAAAATGATCATCATCATAAGTGCAGCTACAATCACTCATCATACAAGGATGTGACTAATTACTGACTATATTCTCCACACTGCACATTTCATACCTGTGACTCCACTACTGTGCAACTGGAAGTTTGTACCTCTTAATCTCTCTCACCTATTCCTCTCCTTCCTATATTGAGAGACTAAAAAAAAAATACACTGGCATAAAATTTGATATTGAATTCATTGTGAGGATGACTTTGAAGATATTCTCTAGTACTTACTCACAGGAGAACTCTCTCAGGAGTCAGTCTCAGTATTGTGAAGAATTAAGTCTCCTAATCAAATGCTTTGCTCTTTGATTTATAGACATTATAATACTTAAAGTTGAGTGTTTACTTCTATGCATTGTCTACTAGGAAGCACAAGGACAAATTCGAGGGCCTCTTCTAGTAACTATCTAGGATCTCATAAAATACATGTTATGTATTTTTGTAAACTAACGGCACTAGGAACTTGTTAGTGTAAACTAACAGCACTAACAGTATTAGGAAACTAATTTCCCTACCCTCTTTTTCTGTCCATTTTCTTCATTTATGTTATCTGAAGTACAGCTTTGTAGGAGACTTCAAATCTGTTTTGAATTATTATTATCATCACTTAAATACATGAATAACAGAGTGGTAGCAATGCAAAAAGAGAATAAGAGAAAATTTGCAGACAGAAAATACAGTCCTTATTGAAAGACTTGTTATTATGGATGAAAGGAAGGTACTCAAAGATCTCTAGCTTTCCTCAGAAAGAGATGGAATCAAGGACAGAAAGTGGGAAGAAAGGGGAAATGATGAGATAAGTTAAGCTTCAGGGAAATTGAGTTAGCAGACAGATATTCAGGCAGAGATATTGTTTAGGCCACTGGGAGTATGTTCCAGGGCTTGAGTCAAAGATCTAGATTAGTGATGCTGATCTGAGAACTGTCAACACTGAAACAATAGCTGCAGGTGAGAAGAGTAAAAACAATCCTTGGTAAAGTGCAGAGACAGAATGTTGGTGGTGGTTTAGCTGCTCAGTCGTGTTGTGACTCTTGCGACCCCAAGGACTGTACCCGCCAGGCTCCTCTGTCCATGGAGTTTCCCAGGCAAGACTGCTGAAGTGGGTTGCCATTCCCTTCTCCAGCAGAGACAGAAGACCAGCATATAAATCTGTGGGTAACCTAGGATTAGGGGTTTAGAGGAGAAACAGATACCAGAGATAATGAAAGGAAAATTAGTTAAAGAAGGAGAAGAAAGCATCAAAATAATATTGACCTAAAAATCCAAGGAGAAAATAATTTCAAAAAGCAAACTTTTTAAACTACTATTTAAAAGCAGAAGATGCCAAAATAAAGGAAATGAAAAAGGAAAGGACCACTGAATTATCAAGGAAGAGGGCACTGTTGATCTGTGAGTGGTGGTGCAGAAGCATACAGTCCTGATCTGAGGGGCCTCCCTGTGTCTCTTTGTCTTGCTAGTTAGTTATCAACTCCAACTCAGGAGCCATATTTAGGCATTTTTATTAGCTTGCTACACAAAGTAAATATTTATCTTTAGTGTTATAATATCATATTACAATCTAATGTGATACTGTAATAACTAACACAAGAATCTCAATGACTCAGTAATCATAGTGACAGGAGTAGGATCTAGAATTTAAAACTTAATTACCATAAACTATGCTAATTTTGGGTAAAAATATGTGCTGTGAATAAAAATGTATTTATCTAGGACCATGACAGCCCTTTTTCTACCATGAAGAATCTCCATGTCAGCAGAAGGCTTACCTTCTCTATGATGAACTGAGCACAGGTCTCATGAAACTTGCTTGCCACAGTTTTGTATTCTGGATGATCAGGCTGTAGCTCAACCACACAGACTTTCTGCTGCTTCATATCACTCCAGTATGGGGGCAGCTCAACTGCAAAACAGACATTTGAAAACTCCCTCGCACCTGAGAAGCCTCATCTACATAGTCCATATTCCTGGTATGCTTTAAAAACCTATCATTTGTGCTCTTGTTTTACAATCTCCTAATTTGAAGTGTACAAGAAGCCTCTTATCTTTCTAGAAGAACATTTCCAAAATGTGAACCACAGATAACCCAAATCAGAACCAACTAAAATGCTTGTTTTAAAAAAAAACCCTCACAGAGACTTCCTGGGTGGTCCAGTGAATAAGACTTCCTCTTCTAAAGCAGGGGATAAGGGTTCAATCCCTGGTCAGGGAACTAAGAGCCCACACGCTGCAGAACAACTAAGCCCACGAATTGTAACAAACAGCCCCCTCACCTCAATGAAGACCCAGCGCAGCCAAAAATAACAACAACAAAGAAAAAAAAAAAAGCTCTTACTGATTACTGAATCAAAATCTCCGAGGGTAGAACCTGCATCTTACAGGTTTGATCATGCTCAGATTTGAGAACTCTTGGTGTAGTATAACTCAGCCACATATTCTGCTCAGTCTCTATTAAGTCATAATAATTGTACAATATAAATTATTTTCCTACAATGTTTTCAATAAATAGTCATTAATGTTTTGCTTACAAACGCTTGGCTTTTTGCCAGAACTCACCACCACTACCAGAGCCTCCCAATCCATTCTTTCATTATTCCTCACAGCATCCTTAAGAGTTGGGTAGGTGGGAGGTTTAGCTATGTGGCAGGCTGGGGGTGGCAGCTCGGCGTCCTCGTCTGCTAAACAGAAGCGTCATTTCCCCAGGGTTGCTCAGAGTCTGAGGAATTCGTTCACATTGATCTCCCAATGTACTGAAAACCATTTAGTAGTTTTCAGTGGGGGATTTTTGTGGTTCAAAGGCAGGAATAGCTGTCTACACAAGACAAGCTTTCCCTTCTCGAGAACCTTGAAGGCTGCTTCCTGATGTTTGTGTCAAGGATTCTTATCCTCAGGCAGAGGAGGAAGTGACTTCTGGGAGACCCTACAGGCTCCCCATCCACTCAGTCATTAGCCACAGACTCCGAGTGCCCACTCTGTTTTCTTTTTGTTCTAGAAAGCCTTAGGCTACTTTACAGCCCATGGCATTCCCTTTCCTGACTGAAGCAGCCATTACCACCACCCCCACCCCAGCAAAACTGACTCCAGGAAGCTTGTAAACTGCAGAGACAAGAACAAATGCAACATTTGACTATTGCTACCATGAAGATAATAATGATCAGCTGTTGGGTGCAGCCACGCTGTATTTTCCTGGCCAAAGTGTAAGCTCATTCAACCCAGAGACCAAGTTTTCTATTTTCTTCCATAAGGGCTACTTGGATTTTGTCTACTTGAACAACATTTTGATGTACATACAATACACAACACAGGCCTAAAGTAATGGAGAGCAAGCATGAAAGTTTGATTCACCTTCAGATTTTGTATGGCGCTGAACAGATAAGCTGTTTCCTTTTGCATCTGTAGCAATATATGTCTTCAAGTCCACTGTGTAGCTCTGATTATTGATTTTGACATCAATTGTCTTTCTCTTTTGTTTCTTTGCATCCTCCAATTGCATGTTGGTTATTTTGTCAAAACTATGAAATTTATTATTATAGTCCTTATATTGCCATTCTACAAAATCACTGGTACGATCTGCCAAAGATTCCTGTTCTTTGGACAATCTAACTCTCTTGATCATGTCCTCAATTGCATTTCTAGCTTGTATCACATCTTTGGTAATTCCAGAAACCTCAATCAAAGGTCTGTCACAGTTCAAGGAAATGGAAATATTTAGCTTCTTCTGAAGCTCATTCAATTCTTTATATTCATTTATATCAAAGTGTTTGATACATTCATCTTCACTGCTGTAGGGACACTGTTCATTTTGAATGAGGTCCTGTATCCACAAGAGAGCGGCTTCCACACTTTCTACATTTCTACCACACACCTGAAAAACTGCTATTTCTGTTTTCTTTTCTAAAACCAGAGTCCGTTTTTTGGGAGATTTACTTGAGAAGCCCAAAAATGCTAAAAAAGAAAAGAAAAGAAGATTAGCTATTTCTCTTTCTTTCTCTCTTCCTTCCTTCCTTTCCTTCTCTCTCCCTCTCTCTCTTTCTTTCTTTGTCACCATGCTGTACATTACAATCCCAGGACTTGCTTATCTTATAACTGGATGTTTTTACGCTTTTGACCAATTTTTACCCATTTCACCCACCTCTCATTCCCCTCTGCCCACCATGACCACCTACCCTACCTCTGGCAATCACCAGTCTTCTATATCTATGAGTTCAGTATTTTTTTTTTAAAGATTCCACATATAAAGGCTATCATTGAGTATTTGTCTTTGTCTTATTTCACTTATCATAATGTCCTCAAGGTCCAACCATGTTGTTGCAAATGGCAGGATTTCCTTCTTGTTTACGGTGAGTGCTATTTCATTATATATATAATATCGCATTATATATATATGTACATATATCTACATCTCCCCTCCCTCTTGAGAGTACTGGTGTTTTAAAAGCTACTTTAAAGGTGGGAAAAGCCTAGCTTTCAAATAGGGACAGGACATATCCTCCTTTCAAATGGGGACAGGATGAGTAATATTTCATTACATATATATTTAATGAAATACATAACATCTTCTTTATAATTCAGCTTTCAATGGTTCCATGTTGTGGCTATTGAAAACAATGGTGCAATGAACATGGATTCAAGAAAGTGATTTCATTTCCTTCAGATAAATACCCTGAAATGGAATTGCTAGATCATATGGTATTTCTATTTTTAATCTTTTGAGGAAACTTCATACTGTTTTCCACAGTGGCTGTACCTATTTACATTCCTACCAAAAGAGCACAAGTTTTCCCTTTTCTCCACATCCTCACCAACAACTGTTATTTCTTGTGCTTTATTTTTATCATTTATTTTCCCCTATGTTTTTTTCTACAAGTTTTATGGGCAGGTCTTAATATTTGAATCTTTAATCCTTTTTTTCTTTTTTGCCATGCCACATGGTATGTGGGATCTTAGTTCCCCAGCCAGGGATGAAACCTGTGCCCCATGCAGTGGAAGAGCAGACTTTTAAATTTCACTGAACTATCAAGAAAATCCCTTGTCTTTTTGCCAATAGCTGTTCATCATGTAAGATGATCACTCATTATGATTTTGATTTATATTTCTCTGATGATTAATAATGTTGAGCACTTTTCCATATACCTATTGGCCATTTGTATATCTTTTTTTGAAAAATGTCTATTTAGACACTCTGTCTATCTTAAAATCAGGTTGTTTGCTTTTTTTTTTTCTATTGAGTTGTATGAGTTCTTTATATATTTTGGATGTAACACCTTACCAGATATACAATTTGCAAACATTTTCTCCCATTCAGTGGGTTGCCTTTTCATTTTGTTGATGAATTCCTTCACTGTGCAGAAGCTTTTTAGTTTGATGTAGTTACACTTACTCATTTTTGCTTTTGCTATTTGTACTTTTAGTGTCAAATCTAAAAAAAATCATTACTAAGACCAATGTCAAGGAGCTTACCTATATGTTTTCTTCTAGGAGTTTTATAGTTTCAAATCTCATGTTCAAGTCTTATCTGTTTTGATTTAATTTTTGTGTCCAGTGTAAGATAGTGGTCCAGTTTCATTCTTTTGCATGTGGCTGTCCAGTTTATAGGCTTCTGAAGCAAGCACCCAACACTGTTTATTGATGAGACTATCCTTTCCCCATTGTATTTTCTTGGCTCCCATGTTGTAAATTAATGAAACATATGTGCATGGGTTTATTTCTGGGCTCTCTATACTGTTGTTCTCTATTAATCTATGTGTCTATTTTTATCAGTACCAAACTGTTTTGATTATTGTATCTTTGTAATATAGTTTGAAATAAAAAAGTATAATGCGTCTAGTTTTGTTCTTCTTCCTCAGGATTGCTTTGGCTATTTGGGGTCTTTTGTGGTTCCATACAGATTTTTAAATTGTTTATTCTACCTTCTATGAAAAGTGCCATTGGAATTTTGATTTGCATTGAATTTGCAGTCTGCTTTAAGCAGTATGGATATTTTAACAATATTAATCCTTCCAATCCATGAGCATAAACTATATGTCCATTTATTTGTATCTTCTTCAGTTTCTTTCATCAATATTTTATAGTTTTCACAGTACAGGATTTTCACCTCCTTGGTTAAATTTATTTCTGGGATTTTATTCTTTTTGATGCAATTATAAATGAGATTGTTTTCTTAAATTCTCTTTGTGATAGTTCATTAAAGCTTAGCTAATTTAAAATCAGACAGAGAGACAAACTGATAATGAGGAATTTGAAAAAAAACTCATAGAAAAAGAGATCAGATTTGTGGTCACTAGGAGGCTGGAGGCCAAGGGTTGAAGGAGACTGGAGAAAGGTACAAGTTTGTCAAAAGAGACAAACTTCCAATTACAAGCTAAATAAGTACCAGGGATGTAATATACAGAATGATGACTATGATATTGTGATTTACTGGAAAAAATATATTTGGTCATTTGAATGGCAAAATATTTTTCTCATACATATAGTATTTGGCTTGTGACTGGCATCAAAAGTGGAGGGCCATCTTGTTACATTGAGAGCCCTTTGCCTGTGGAATCTGATTCCATCTCTGAGTAGATGATGTCAAAACCAAGTTGAATCCTCAGACAACCTGCTGGGATCTGAGAACTGCTTGTGAATACAGGAAAGCTTCCACACATACATTGGAATTGGGTCCAAAAACCTTCTTTAATGACTCTAGTTAACACTACTATATGCTGTATATGAAAGCTGTTAAGAAAGTAAATTCTAAGAGTTCTTGTCACAAGAAAAAAAAATTCTTATTTTCTTCTTTGTTTTCTCTTTTTATTGTATCTATGTGAGATGATGTATGCTAACTAAACTGATCATGGTAATCATTTCACAATAATATAAGTCAAACTATTATGTTGTATATCTTAAACTTATACAGAGATGTATGTCAACTATATCTCCATAAAACTACCAAAGAAGGATAGCTGTTTTTCATGTGAAATCAATATTAGGAACATGTATTTCATAAAAATGAACAACTCACATGCAATTTTAGATATCATAGACTGTTGGAAAGAAGCCTGAGTTTCTTCTCTTTTTTTCATGTTGGCATAAAATACATCCAGTACTTGAGGCTGAAAGATAACAACTTTAACTTTTTTCATAGACTGGACTAATCTTTTCTGAATAAATTCTTCAATGGCATCAATTATGGCTACTGCAACCTTATCTGGGTCTTGTCTGGCACTACCTGGAAAGGAAAATAATAAAAATAATTAGGGGAAAAAGGCCCAACTGGAAAAGAGTGAAGAATAAATTAGGGATTCCAATTCTCAGAATAAATTCCCACGCTTTAACTCCCATCATCATGGACTTTACTAACAAAGCATCAGCAGACACTCCTGAAGTCCTAGATGCAATGGGGACTTTTTGTTCCAGGGTGTCAGGAACAGCCCAACAATGAACCATGAAACATAACTTGGTGTCTGATGTTCTTATTTTCTCTATTCAGCTGATCCCAGCTCACTGTGTTACAAAGCACAGTTAACCTCTCTTGGCTCTCTAGTGTCCTTAAAAGACCCAGAAAAAGTAAAAGATGATAATGTATGTTGACATATATTGCTACTTAAAGAGAACAATGATTACTTTTTGTTGAGTCATTTCTTGACTTTATGGATATATTCTTATTCTCTCAGATGTCTTTGGGTACCTGACTTAAAATGAGCTAATTCTGTAAGACACCTAAATCCATAAGCTATTTGTTATAATCTATAATTCTTTGCACACAAATTATCCATGAGCCTCCAAGAGGTTTTGCCTCCTACAGTCAGTGCAATTTTAGCTGAGTTGCAGGGTTCAAGGTTGCCACCTGAGCAAGGTCTTTTCCTATAGTAAGCACACTTCATATCTTGATCTCCCAAGCCTACTGCCTAAATGAGAGTATGAAAGTTCCTTGAAAAGACTCATGAAAAGTCAGGGAAGCAGTTCCATATGAATATCAGCTGTCATATTGAGGGAGGGAGGCAGGCAATATGAAAGCCCCCTGGGCAGCTTGGTGTGATAGACAAAAGGCCCACTTAGATGATCCCTGTTCATTGTGCCCACTATTATTGCAGAAAAGACAGCAACCCTCTCTGACCTGGCTATGGAGACAACTGTAGTAATGTAGACAATTCCCATATAAAACAAACCTAGAGGGTTTGTGCAGGATTTTTTGATTACATGATCAGAAAAAGAGAGAAACTCTCATTGCAAATCTGTAGTTATTCCATGATATTTGGAAGAATCTAAATGGTAGTGTTTAGATACATTCATCCACTCTCAACAGTCTAAGCACTTGGGACACAGAGGATGTGACATGTGAAGATGAATAGGTGTTCAACAGGTAAAGTATGGGAAACTGAGGCAAAGGCTATGCCAGATAGAACTATGCAAGGAGTATGATACGTTGAACGTGATGTGTTCAGGGGAACAGATCGGGTTTTGAGAAAGTTAAACAAGGAATAGAAGAGTGAATGAGAGGAAGCACTGGAGCAGGGAAACCCAGTTCTAAAGAGGAGTCTATAAGTAAAGGTTTAGGCAAAAGACAAGAGCTGAACAAAGAGAAGAGGCCAGAATGAAGAACTGGGTGTCGGGGTTGGGGAGATATTCAGGAATTAAAGTCAGCAGGGCCAAGTGACCAACTGGCTTTACACTTGCCCCTTTGTTCCCTGTCCTTTGCCACCCACATCCTTCATATGTGTTTCACAGGTCACACTGCACTGTGGTTGTTTGCTGACATGTCTGTGTCTCATAATAGGTCAGGTGCCCTTTCTGAACTGAACCTTTTTCTTAGTCTTCAAACTAATTAGTAAGCTAATGCACACAGGAGTGGTAAAGAGTATAGAATCAAAGATTCTAGATAGAAAGTGATATTTTTAACATGCTTGGGGTTGTAAGAGGAAGGGCAGGTGTGGGGAGAAGACAATGAACTGGAGTTTAGAGTTTGCTTTCAGTTTGAGATGCCTTCAGGTAACACAGTGCCCATTCTCTCCCCTCAAGCAGGTGCCTGTGAGGAACAGGGAGAGGGCTTCCTTTACTGCCAGCAACTGTCTTGATTACAGTCTCAACTCATAAACACCACTAGGGAAGAAAACTCCTCCATCTGTTAGTCTAAGGGCCTGCTCAGCTACGGATAGCGACAGGGAAAAAAGATGAGCAAGAAATTGCTAACCTTCATTTATTTGTGCAGATCAGCAATGCAACCAGGTTAGTGGAAAAAACAGCAGGTTTTCAGTAACCCAGAAGTATTTATACAAAACAAAAACTGCCTCATTTCCTTATTTCTGCTCTGACTCCACTCCGGGACTCCCTTGGGAAGGTCGGTGCCACCCTGAGGCTGCCTGCTTTCTTGGCACAATTAAAGTTAAGGCAGAAACACAAGACTGGAGCTCAGAGGAAAAAGCAGATGGAGGTAGACTCGAGAGTCATTAGTGGGTGTCCATAAAAAATGACAGAGAGGGAGAGAGACAAAAAGATAATACATTGGCTAATCTGCTAGGACTGAATGATACTACAAAGAGAGTGGAAGAATAAAGGGTATATAAATCATACTTTCAGATATACAGAACCCAAGAGACATAACATTCTATGTGGGAAAATTAAGAGGAATGAAAAATATAAGAGAAATCAAAATATGGGATAGAGGATAAGAAGAAGGCCGAGAAAGTACCAAGGATGGTTAGGTTTATTAAGCTAAGCTTTTGGAGGGCCTAAAATGCCAGTATGAGACACTCAAACTTGGATTCCTGAGCAGTGGAATGTTTAACCCAGCGCTGTGCCTTCTCTCTCTGGGACCAGTCAGCTCCAGCCACTTCAAGCCTGAGCAGCTCCCGTAGGAAGACCAAGCAGGAGTGCCTGATTCATGCACAGGACTCAGATTCCTGGGGAAACAGCTCGAAAGCCTCCACTTACAGATGACAAGCCCAAAACACCATCCTTATGAAAGAAGACTCACACAATCATACAGTTTGAGGGAAACAAGAAACTCCAAAGAGGCAGGCAGGATGAAAGGAGGAAGGCCTAGGTTTTCTGACTCAGTGGAATCTACCGGGTTCTGTTGACTGAGAAGCTGACATGCCCCATGACCAGCCACTTGTTGAGGAGGCAAGAGAACGGGGGTGGCGACGCTGTCTGGGGGAATCAGAGGTCCATGCACTGGTGTTTCAGTGAAGAGGGGTAGAGGAGAAGTTGAAGACTAAATAATGGGACAGGTGTAGGGGGTGAAAAAGAGAAGAATGCTGATAAAGATAATGAGAAACGGACTTTCTTTTTCTCTCCCTCCCCTTCCATATTAGAAAGCAAATGTCTACTATGCCAATACTCTCTTCAGTTTTCTTCATTTTTCCCTCTTACTTAAACTACCCTCAGGCTTTGCCCCTTCCCTCAGGGGCTGCCCTGAGTTGAGGAAACTGACTGAGGCTGACTCAGTAGTAAGTCCATTAACCATCAACACCAAATCCAAGGGAAAGTGATCGCCTTGGGGTTCAGCCTTGACAGCCAGAGGCCACAAACCTGTCCCGATGGCCGGGAGGCAAACAGACGAGTAATGGCGTTTTTCACACTCTTTCAAAATACAGGTGACCGATCTCTTGACATCATTTCCACCAATGACGTGAATGATATTCTTGCACTTCAAAAACCCACCTTCAGTAATTATATAATCACCGTGGCCCTGTTGAGCTGGGAAACATGAGACAAAAAGACATAAAATTAGAGGCTGAACCCATTCTCTGATTGTTTAAAAAGGAAAATGTCTGAATTGGAAGATAAAGTATTCTCTGTGAATAAGAAACTCCTGAAATACTAGCTCTGGTGAATCTCACTTCTCTTATTAACCGAGAGATTACTTTTCATTTATAATTCACTGCAACAGGAATTCTTCAGTAAAAAGTATGATTTCCAGATCAATATGTTGTCTCCCCAAACCCAAGACTTTCCTCATCCTCCACAGCCTCCCATATTCAGTCTTCCACTTAAAACTTAGAATCAAAAAAAGCATTGTGCCTTACCTTGGCGAGAACATTCTATTTCCACATTTCTCCCAGCACTTTCTAAAATTGCTTTGGAGACCCCTACATGAGAAAATCAAGATGTTTACACACATCAGAATGGTTGCCTCACAATCTAAACACCTTTCCCATCATCGAAGGAATCCTATAACTAGGGTATTTCTGATAACAAAGAAGAAAAATTCATAAAAGAACTGTTACCAATTATGAGAAAACAAGTCAAGACAATTAAAAAATTATTAATTAGTATTAATAAGACAAAGTTGTAGAAACCAGTTTGGCTATAGAAACCCTACTTCACGGGCTCTACTGTTACTAGTCAAAATTCTGTAAGTCAAGTACCTGCTTTGAGATTAAATGACTTTGATGTTGAATTTACGATCACATCTGCCTCTTCTTTGCTGATATCTCCAGAGGCTACCTGGAAAATGATGGGCCCAATCTTCATTTCATACACTCCTAAATCAGGTTTAGAAATAGTCCCATAGAAATCTGACAAGGAAAAAAATGGAGTCAGTAACCAGTCAGCAGTAGCGAGAATGACTTAGGTTTCATGGTCCTCACCTGTGCCCCGCTCAACCTTCTCTTTCTCTCTCTCTGCCCCTCTCTGTGATCTCTGGCATTTAACTTGGCCCTGCCTCTGAGCCTCTGATGGTCTGTTTCTGGCAAAGGATTATAAAATATATATCAAACGTGGACTTCAGTTGCTGACCAAGGTGAATTAGTCGACTTGAGCCTTTCTTTTCCACTGATTACAAGTAAAAACATGGGACAAATACAAAAAGCCACATTCGGAGAACTGAGACGTTCACAACAGCAGGCAAATTGGGGAAGGGAGTCAAAAGTTGAAGAAGCAGCCTATACTGCTTCGCATTTTGTTCGGTAATTTTTCCTCTTTTCTCTCCCAGCCTTGAGCCAAGCATGGCCCTCATTATAGAACTACACAATGAAGACAGGCAGCAAAACTCTCATAGAATCTCTGTCTTGTGGCCAGAGAACTGAGAAAATGGGTCCCCGTGAGCTCAAGAGAATAGCAGAGAAGTCTCATTTTTTCCCGTACTTTTCCTTTCTAAATCTAGACCCTATATCAAGGTGCCCTGGATGTGGAACTCCACAGTGACACCACACGGAGCTAAAACTGAGAGAGTTTTATTCCTGTCCAAAAGAATCAGAAAAAAAAAAGGGGACTTGTGGTCTGAAAAGTGTCTATGTGGTATATGAGAAATTCTTGGCTTTTTGTTTGTTAGGTCCTCTCCCTATCCCCTTTGCTTTGCCCAAGGGGATCCCTGATCACGCAAAATTATGAGGCAACAGAACTCGCAGCTTCAACTCTGACAGAACCTTGTCCTTCTGGCCAGAAGACCTAGAAAATAGCCTTCTGCAAGACAGAATGTAAGGGGAATGCTGGGGCAGTGAGCTGGAGAGGGTGATCCCCTGTTCTGTGTATGACTGCACATGGGTAGACCCAAGCTGCACAGCAAAGGCCTTAGGAATGGAATTGATCTTAACCACTGCCCAAACATAAGGTGAGGCAGAACTTGTAGAATGAAGCTAGCTGACTGGCTGCCTGCTCAAACAAAGAAAGCAATGACTATTTTCCAGAGGATTTTAACAGGACCCTAGTCGCACAACATAATGTTTAAAATGCCCATTCTTTGGACTTCCCTGGAGGTCCAATGGCTAAGCCTCCAAGTTCCCAATGCAGAGGGCCTGGGGTTCAATCCCTAGTCAGGAAGCTAGATCCCACATGCCACAACTAAGACCCAGTGCAGTCAAATAAATAAATACTTTTTAAAAATAAAATACCCATTCTATAATCCAAAATTGCTTGTCACCCAACGAACCAGGAAAATGTGACCAATTCTCAAGTATAAAGATGCTCAATATAGATGCTAATCTTCAAGTGACTCAGATGTTGGCATAATCAGACAGTCTTCAAAGCCTCCACTATAACTACTATAACTCCCTGAGGTCAAAGTAAACACATTTGAATGCATGAAAATAATCTGGAATGAAGGGCAAATAGGGATCTCTACAGAGAAATATAAACTATAAAATAAGAATCAAAAGGACATTTTACAACTTAAAAGACAATGTTTGAAATTAAAAGTTCACTGGATAGGCTATATATAGTATAGTAGACAGAGAAAAGAATCAGTGAATTTGAAAGTGGATTAACAAATGGTATCAAATCTGAAGAACAGAGAGAAAAAAGATGGAAATTTTAAAAAAAGAACAGATCTTCAGAAATATTATCAGAAGGCTTACCATTTGTGTTATTGAAGCACCAGAGGGAGAGGAGAGAGACCAGTGCAGAAAAATATATTTGAAGAAATGACTGAAAAATTCCCAGGTCTGACGGAAGACATACATGTTCAGATTTAAGAAGCTTCAGAAACTCCAAACAGGATAAACTCAAATATACAACAGTAACTTTGACAGAGGAGAAGCATTTGGTTGGTTTTATTTCTTTAAATGTATCTATTTCTGAAAACACTTATCACATCATCCTTAGTAGCCTCATCATCACGTAAAAACCCATTGTACAAATTATATTCGGCCAGCCTACTCTTTCACTCCAGATCACATAAACATGACCAGTGTCTTGCATGCTCAGGTATATGGAATATAATTTACTATTTTATTTATAAAAAATTGACTTTTTCATAAAAATCATCCTGTTTTACTTCTCACGGAATAGTTATTTAGCAATTATAAAGATTTCTCTATTTAAAAGCTTTACTGAACCTTGTGTACTTTCAGCCTTGGAAATTTTTTCACTGATGAAATTTTCATTAGCTCTTCTGGCAAATTCATCTGAGAATGCCTGGAAATACAAATACAGTTTTAACCACCACAATTCTCAATAGATAAATGAATCTGATTCAGACATTTTGATCCTACGTGCACAAATATTTATGAGAGAATAATTCTCTCAAATATTACTTATTTTCATTATAGATTTTTAGGTTACAAAAACTCATAAACTCTATTTTTAGAAATATACACTATGAAAATTATCAAAGATGTGAACAAAGATATAAATATAAGGATACTGATTACAATGCTGTTTGCAACTGAGAAAAAATTAAAGTTTAAAACTCCAACAGGAAAATGGTTAAATAAATTTTAGTATGCCCATATGCTGGAGTATTCACTTCCCTGGTGGCACAGATGGTAAAGAATCTGCCCTCAATGCAAAACACACAGGTTTGATCCCTGGGTTAGGAAGATCGCCTGGAGAAGGGCATGGCAACCCATTCCAGTATTCTTGCCTGGAAAATTCCATGCACAGAGGAGCCTGGAGAGCTACAGTCCATGGGGTCACAAAGAGTCAGACACAACTACACGACTAACACTTTTACTTTCATGCTGGAGTATTTGGCAGCCATTATAAATCATATTTTTAAAGAATAGTTAATAGAACAGGGAAATGCTTATTTTATACTATTAAATGAAAAAAGGATGATATTAAAATACATAGTCCCACATTTAAAAGTCCATATATATACAAGAAGACTGGAATGAAATACAACTAAAAGAATTTATGCATTTTTTGTTCAGTTTCTACAATGAAGATGTATTACTTTCATAATCAGTAAAACCAAATATTTGCTGTTGTTAAAAATACAGTGTTAAGAGAAAGACAACCACAAGGACCCAGACACTTCAGTTTTTAACTTATTTGTACCAGGAGAGAAATAGCTAGGGGAGTAATGTCTTGGGAGTTAGAGGCTGGAATTCCATTTCTTTGCCTGGTAGTGACACACCAATATCATCGCTTTCTTCCCCCTTATTACAAGCAACAGAAATTCTGTTGGAAATGAACAAGTAACATCTTGACTAAAAGGCTTATACAATAATGGGAAGAGGACCAGACAGAAGTGACTATAGAGCCAAGGCCTCGGACTTAAAGACTACTACAAGTACCAGGCAGGTACGCTACAGGAGTAAAGGTGGACAGGTGTAAAGGTGGACTGGTTTGACTTTGGAGAACTAGAGAGTAGCTGCCATTCAGCCACAGCAAATTGTTTAGGCTGATATCCACGTCCAATGTGCTAGAAATTTTGAATTTTTAGGTCACAGTGGACATCTGGAGCTTAATATGACATATTTGATTCTTAAATGCCAGCAACAGATTCAATTCTTTAAAAAAAAACAAAAACAAAAACAAAAAAAACTGCCCAAATAAAGCATATCTAGAGGCTCCATTCAGACCACAGGCTACTGCTTCAACCTCTGTTATGGTCTCCACCTATAAATATTTCAATAAGTTTTGCTTATTTGGGGGAAAATAAAACCAAAGCTAACTCTCCTTACAAGTCTTAAGAGAAAAAGTGTCACAGTCATGTATGAAAAAGCAATACTATTTCCAATGGCAATAATGGTGTCTGTCTAGGCTAACCCCTTTATCAAATACTTGCAGAATTTGAATCTTTAGGAAAGATAATGAAGGCTGAGGTTGCACAGAAACAGTGAGTTTCAAGGGTTCAGATCCATGTCATAGGACTCACTTCCTTCAATGAACCCGGCCATTCATTCAAAAACTCTCAGCATTTCATCTTTCTAGTTCATTTTATGTGTACAAATCTTAGCTCCCCAAGTAATTATGATTTGTAGGAGGGAGAGTACATGCGACATACTTATTCTGTAATCCATATCACTTTGTACAATGCAAGTCATAGGGAGACTATTCAAAAAGTATTTATTGACTAGAAATGATTGTAGTTACGTGGGCCAACTAAATGGACCACATATACTGCTCAGGGGGTTTAGCTGTCTGATTAGAATGTAGATTTGCCTGATTCCAGAGTATATAAAGGTAGCAGCTAGCAAGAGAAAAAAGATTAAGTATGACCTAAAAATTCAGTTGATCCAATGATATATGGACATCTCTTAGACTGCTAGCCTTAATCTGTTATTTCTCACACTATTATGAAACTTTTCAAACATTTAATATCTACTCTCCTGGACTCTAAGGAGTTGGAGGGCAAGAATAATGGCCTCTTATTAAATGCTTCTTGTTCTCCTGTAATGCTGAGTCCAGTAGCTTACTCACAGCTGACGTTCAGCAAATGTGAGCTGGTTGATAAACTCTCTATGACCAAAGATGGTTCTCCTATTTCTGGTCCCAACCATCTTACTCCTATGGGGATGTGCTGAGTGCTTCAGTTGTATATTATTTTGACATTCTTCTATTTGTAGGACCACAGAGTACTTTTATATTATGTATTAAAATTTCTATGTTAATATGGAAGGAAATTCTATAGATTAAAGAGGTTTAAGGGATATGTCAACTCCATTGCAATACTGGGGCCTTATTTGAATTCTGATTCAAATAAACAAGCTATAAAAACAAAATAAAATATTTATGAAATAGTTTGAAATGTGAACATTGACTTGATAATTGATGAAATAAAGGGATGATTGCCAATTTCTTCTGGGTGTGAAATAGTATTGTAGTTAGGTTACTTTTTAAAAAGAATTCTAATGTTTAAAACAAATACTGAATTGATTATGGGTAAATGTATATATGGGATCTGCTTCAAAAATAATATGGAAGGAAATAAATGGAGATAGAGATGAAACATAATGCCATAAGTTTTTAATTATGAAGATGAATATGGATAAAGAGATTTCATTATACTACTTTGTCTAGTAGTAGTAATTTAATCACTAAGTCATGTCCAACTCTTGCAACCTCACAGACTGTAGCCTGCCGGGCTCCTCTGTCCATAGGATTCTCCAGGCAAGAATACTGGAGTGGGCTGCCACTTCCTTCTCCAGGGGATCTTCCTGACCCAGGAGTCAAACCCATGTCTCCTGCATTGCAGGCAGATTCTTTACCAACTGAGCTACAAGTGAAGCCAAGTATTTTGTCTATTCTTGTATTATGTTTCAAATTTTTCTTAGTAAGAAGTCAAATTTTTTCTATATGCACACATTTGCTTGAAATTTGCCATACTACTAGTCCACACTACTCTTTTACTTTCTTGTATGAAAATACATGAAAGAAACAACCTATCAAACCAAGAAGACACTTGAAAATGTTAGGGCTCAGTTGATAGAATAACCTGCAATGAGCAAGACCATACCTGAATATTTTCACGATCACTTGGGTGCAACAGAAAGCAAACCTCTTGTAAAGTTCTGGGTTGATTCTTTCTACTGAATGTGAATACTTCTGAGGTGATTAATTCAGCAAAAACATCTTTAGGAAACCCCAGATTTCCTGTTCCTATTGCTGGAAATGCAATTGAGTTTAAGGACAAACTCTCAGTGATCTCCAAACATTCTCTGATTATGTTTTCCATGATCTGAAAAGGACAAAGCACATTCTTATACATTTTTGCCTAGAAGTTAGAGTTCAAATAAAAAGAACAAGAATTTAGCAACTATGGGATCTCTGCCTCCTCCTTTTTGCTTTCAACAAAAGGCAGGTTAAGGGCAGTGAGAAGGGGGAAAGAGAAATAGAGGAGTAAACGAGGAAAAGGAAGGAAGAATGTGTGAGACCCTCCAAAAAGATTCAAACGTATTCAGCAATGATGGAAAGAAGCAAAGCAGTTACTGTTCTGAGCCTTCATTCTCTTCCATTCTTCATGCCCTCACCTTGCCTTCCTCATATAGGGTGCTATCTTCAGCCAGCTCTTCCCTGAGTCCCAGCAATGGTTGAGAACTACAATAAATTTATATTATTAAATGGTCCTTGGGAGAAGTCAGCTATAGCTCAAAGAAATGGCTCTGAGAATGTGATGTTAGTTCAGAACAGAAACAGGCAGAGTTCAATCTACTTTACACTGAGGGTTCAAAGAGCTACCTAATTTTCTGGAGAGTTTAAAACCAGGTCCCACCTTCTGTGAAGACGGTTTGTTATTATTCCAGTTCGGAGCCACCACGTGAAGCACATGGTGGCAACGCAGATTGCAGCCGCTGGTTTGGAGAACAGTGCCCACATCAACAACCACCCCTTGTCCAGCTGTCTTCAATTCCTCCTGGAGCTTTTGTCCTGCTTTTTCCAAGAGGGCCTTGGAAAGGGGCCCCCTATCGAGCTCAAGATCCGAGGAAATGGAGTTGACAACAACATGGGTCTTAAAAACAAAACCAACAATTTGTTTCAAATTCTAAGAAAAAGCATTCATCCAGGATTACCATATTTAAGCCCCTGGGCTTGGCACAGTGGGAGACAACTAAGATGATTAAATTTTCAGAGATTAAAATACCACCTCAAAAGAGAGATACTTATTTAAAAAACACTCTAGGACAAAATGTAGCTGTCAAAGAGCAACACATAAATGGTAGGGACTCACCAAAGGAGTCCAGAGGAAGGTTAGTGAAGATAGCATGAGTGACATGGTGTCTGAGAAATGGGAATAGTTGCTGCAGGCAGAGAGAGATGGGGAATTCATTCAGGAGGGGCAACAGCATGGACAGAAGCAGGGTAGGTTGTGAGCAGCAAACAGATTAGTTTGACCCGCTAGAGAGCATTCACAGGAAAACGGTACCAGCCAGGCTAGGAATACTATACAGTGGGTAGACTGCAGGGCCTTGAGTCCCAAGTCAACTGGGCTTCCAGGCATCAGTGAAGAGCCATGGGATCTTTTCCAGCAGGACAGTTAATATGAGCAGATTAATCCGGCTTGACTAAGACACCAAGAGAAGACGGGAGAGGGAATGGGACCAAGTGGTTGTCAAAGTTACCCCACGAGGGTCACCCAGAAGTGATGCAAAGCAGGTCTGTGGCAGCAGAAGCCACACACCTATGGGAGTGGAAGGTGTGGAAGGAATGTCTCACAACTCAGTGTCCAAGGTGAACGAGCATCGGAACTCATTCCAATTACTGACCCCTGGCTGAAAGAGATTTCTGTTTATTTGCTTGGTTTTTTCAATGAGAAACAAAATTACTTCTGTATTTTGAAATACAGCAATGCACATTCCAAACCCAGCTCTATCATTTGCTTGCTGTGAGACTTGGGCAAAATACTTAACCCCTCTAAATCTCATTCCTTCATCTGTGAAATGAGAATAATAATCCTGGAATCTGATAGCATTGAATGAGAAAATGAATGCCAAGCACTTGGGAGAGTGCCTGGCACATAGTAAATAGGCAGTGTTAGTTATTATTCTTGTAATTATAATTTAAGCTAACTGTAAGTAAAAATCAAAATTTTTACAACCTCTTTCCATATTTTAAGCGAAAATGAAAAATATTTCAAACAAAATAACAACTTGAACAAAAAAAGAGGATGACCCACAAGATGGGAGAAGATATTTGCAAATTGTATATCTGTTAAAGGACCTGAATCCAGAATATACAAAGCACTCTTAAAATTCAGTAATAAAAAGATAATTTTAAAGTGGACAAAGGTTGTGAATAAATTCTTCTCCAAATAAGATATGCAAATGGCCTTCCCTAAGAATCTCTGCCCCAAGACTGCTTGGGGCAGACAACCCCCCATTTGGGGAAGCATAGCAGGGGACCTTCCAGCACTGTTTGGATGTTACAGCCTATGTTGAAAAAGTTGCTAAATACAGTTTTTAAAAACACATCACTCCCTGACAGATCTACAAGAACTAGCCCCACATAATACCCAGACCTTCCCCAGATCCACTTTCTACCTTCCTCCCCACATTTTCTTACTGGTGTTGGGAGTTGAGTGCCCCCTCAGACTCAGTATACTCCAGATTACTATCTTCTGTCCCCATCTTACACTCTAATTTTTCTGTATCTGTTATCAGAGAATTTGACAGGAAATTAATCTTAGATTTGCCAAAGTATGACAGGTGTAAAAGCACTGAAAAAGTATAGACAGTCATGTAAATGTTTACTGTGGATTTTCACATTTGCTGGAAACTAGTGATCTGAGTACATTATCAGTTCCCACAAATAACTGACCAGTCTCAAGTAGTGAGCACTTTGGTGAAGTAGCCCAATTTTCTAAGGAAACCTATTTCAAGGCAAGGATGGAGGACATGGGATTCTCCCCTTGATCCTAATCTCCCTTTGGCAGTAGGCTAACTGGAGTTCCCAGCACCCTGGGGGTTATTCTGAAAACAGGGGCACTCACTGTAGCATTCTGCACATCTTCTTTCACCAATAGGATCCTCAGGCCTTCTGGGGTCAACAGACTTGATCCATTTCCATGATCTTTTCTCAAGTCGGGCTGGACTGCTGCTGGTAAACCATCAGGCAGGGTGTCTTTAAATACACTTTTGGCACTTTCAGCAAATGCCTCAACAGTCTTCTCAGCTATATCCACAAGGTAAATCTTTTTCAAGGTGCATCCATCCTTCTTAAACTGGAACCATTCCTTGATCGCCAAAACAATGGTCTCCACACACTGGGATAGAGGAAAGCTTGAGGTTCTGGAACTAATAGCAGGGATGGCTATGGATTGGTACTTGTGTTTAACAGCCAAATTGAGACTTTCTTTCACAGCAGTCTTTAGCTGCCACACACATTTCAGGGCCTCATCACTCTTCCACTGAGGCCCGACTGCATGGATCACATGCTGGTATGGGAGCTTTCCTGCTTTCGAGATGACGGCCCAGGGAGGTAAGATCTTGCCCATTCTCTTCAATATCTGGTCACAGTCTTCTTGAAGCTCAGGGCCAGCTGCTCTTAGAAGAGCAGCAGCCAAGGCCCCCCTGAGCTTGAGTTCCTCATTGGCCGCGTTCACCACCACCTGGACAGGAAAGTGTGTCAAGTCGCCTTGCTGCACAATTAGCGAGACTCCAGGAGCTAAATCTGTCTGAAATAAGCACCTCTGCCCACCAGTGCCACCTCCCTCCTTTTCTTCATCTTTCTTCAGTTCAATAAAACAACCAAATAATCTTCTGACCTCAGTTTTATAATACCGTGCTTTATCCTGAAAGAACTGACCAGCTCCCGGTTTATCATTACAGATGCTTTTAACACACACCGAATCCAAGACTTGTCTGACAATTTTCATCCCCTCCAGGACTTTGGCCTTTGGGCCAATTAGTAAAATGCCTTTTTGCTTGTTCTCAGGATTAAAATTTACCTGAACATTCATCCTCCTTATCTCTGACCAGATTTGCTTTTCTGCTTTTAAATAATGAACAATTAAGGAAGTCTTTACTCCAGTCCATCTCTCTACTTTTGTGTGATTTTCCACGAAGTCAAAAAGTGAGTCATAGATTTTATTTACTTCTCTTACACAGCCTGCGATGATGACCTGGGCTGCAGTTTCTGAAGTCACCTCCTGGATTACTACAGTCTTTGAAGAGGAATTGTGTTTCTTACACAAATTTCCAGTGAGCCCTTTCCAATTCTTGCTGTTAAGGACTTCCCTGTCCTCAACATCAATGCACTTATAAATTAAGGCACTGACCATTTGCTTTTCAGCTTCCAACAGGACTTCAGAAGAAGAGCCAGTTAAGAGGACAGTTGGGCCCTCTAGCTCGTAAACTGCAAGAATGTTCTGTGCTACAAAGAGAGACTTAGAGAATTCTGCACAGTCAACCTGTTGCAGAAACTGGAAAACCTCAGGGTGAACATGAATGCTTCTCTGAGCCATGGTGTATACCTTTTCCTGGATTTCACATTTTACTTTATACACTTCTGCAGGGAGTCCTTTAAAGCACATGTGTTGAGAGGCTTCATCATAATAAATTTCCACCTCTGGGCACTCCATGTAGAGCCGCTCTTGTATGCCACTGTGCAAAAGAAGTGAATACTTGCTTGAAGTAATGGCCAGTTTTTGTTTCATACTTTGCTCTTCTCTTTTAATTTTTTGAATGGTATTTTCTATTAAGTCCTTGATCTGTGGCTCAATGTTTTGTACATCCTCTGACTTCCCCACTAGGGTTACAATGCTTGTGAGTGCATCAAACTCAATCAAAATCCTATCATCTTCTAAACTGTCTTTAATGGTGTCCCACACTGTTGGATCCACTTTAAATGGGGTCACTGTATATTTAGACCTGATGTCAGAGAAAAGTGTGGAAGCATCTTTCCGCCAAGTCTTGACTCTTAGTCTTCCTTGATTGACTAAGGTGGCTGCAGGTCTGATGGTCACTTCACTGTTGAGCTGGCACCACGTCAACTCACAGTGACAACGTCTCATTTCATCATGTATCTCCTCAGTCAGATGATTCTTTGTCTGCAAGAATTTCCATAAGGAAAGATCCAGTGATTCTCTGAATGATGCCGGAAGCTTGATCAGAGGCTTCTCCTCCCCGTACAAGGCTGTGCCCAAAGAAGGATAGTATGGGAACACAGAGAGTGGCATATTATTGAGGTCAAGTTTCTTGGTCATGATGGTGTCCATCACTTAAAGGAGAGAAATAAAATAAACTCAGTATAATATGTTTCAGAAGCAAAAACAAGCAAACAAATTTTCCTATTCTGGAGGGAAAAAACCCTAATGTTTGTAAGAACTTTGATGTTACAACATGCTTTTAAAAAGCAGCACTACTCCCAGAGTGCTCAAATATAAATTAATATGTATTAATACTACACAGCTATTCCTTGTGTCAAGAACACTCTATGCTGAAATTCTGTTAGGTAAATTCTATGATAACATTAATATATATTATCACCACCAGGTTAAGAAAGAGAGAAGAGTTTGGTCACAAGCATGAGGAGGGTGTTTGCTCCAGTGTGAAGAATGTTTTTGTTCTTAAAGCAAAGCTCATCCAGGAATCATGTTATTTATTTCTTCCTGTACAGTTGCAGAGATTTAGATTTTATATATGATTTAGATTCCATTAATACTTCTAAGAGGTGGTGCATAATAATTATCATAGTTTACTGTGTGTCAGACAATATTCTAAGTGGTTTCTAACCCTCACAACAACCTTTTGAGGTAGAGACACTATTGTTATCATCCTTATTTACATATGATAAAACTGAAGCTAGGAGATGTTAGATAACTCAAATAGGGTGACATAGACTGAAAATAGGGCTTCCAGGTGGTGCAGTGGTGACGAATCCGCCTGCCAATGTAGGAGACTAAAGAGATGCAGATTTGATCCCTGGTTCAGGAAGATTCCCTGGAGTAGGAAATGACAACCTGCTCCAGTATTCTTGCCTGGAAAATCCCATGGATAGAGGAGTCTGGTGGGCTACAGTCCATGGGATCACAGAGTCGTATATGACTGAGCACACACACAGACTGTAAGTATTTGAGCTAAGATTCAAGCCAGTGTCTGTCTTAGCCCCAAAACCCATGCTCTTGCCCCTCTTCCAGGGGTTCCAAACCAAGGTCATCCTCATGGTCCCCAGACAACCCAGCCCCAGAGACTCTGATTCAATAAGTCTTGCATCTCCCTTGTCCCTGCTCTAATGCCCTTCCTGTCACATCTACTGGGACATTTACTGGTGTGTGTGTGTGTATGTGTAGAGGTACTCTTCTCCCCCATGCCCCTCCTCACTCTGTGTTTAGTTGTTAGACAGGTACAAGGGGTCTAAGCAGGAAGGGAATTAGAATGAACTCCAGTAGCAACTTGGATTAAAGCAGTATCTTGTGAAAAGATGTCAAAAATAACTTCACCTTGTGCACAATTGGCTCCTAAGCCTGAAGCCAGACCTAATGAAAAGAACATGACCTCTGCAGGCTCAGACACATGGCCTCAACTTCCCACCATGGCCTGGAACAGGCTCTGAGTACCAGTGAGTAACCCCATGCCAAGCACTGTGCAGATACAATTATCTGATCCTCATAACACTCCTCTGAGGTAAGTAGTAATGTGAGCCCTATATTATAGATGGAGAACAGAGACTTTGGTGGATTAAAGTAACTTCCCCAAGATCACAAAGCTAGTAAGCACCAAAGCCAGGCATTTGAATTCAGGTCTGTCTGACCCAAGAACCATCAAAGATGTCACCTTTATGTCCCTTAAGATCGCCATTCTGTTTTCCTCCTCTGTTAAAAAAAAAGTAACTATATAACTGCACAGATCCTTATGAGGATTCAGTGAGATACTGTGACAGAAAACACAGCAAAAGATCTCATGTACGACAAGCATTCAGTAAAAGTGTTCTTCCTGACAGGGTGGGATATATGGAGGGAGTAACATAGAAACATACATTACCACATGTAAAACAGAGAGCCAATTGGAATTTGCTCTATGACTCAGGGAACTCAAACCAGGGCTCAGTGACAACCTAGAGGTGTGGATGGGGAGGGAGATGGGAGGGTACATAAGTAAACCTATGGCTGATTCATGTTGATGTTTGGTAGACTACACAATACTGTAAAGCAATTATCCTTCAATTAAAAAAATTTTTTTTTTAATTTTTTTAAAAGAGTGTCTTCCTTAAGATTTTGTGAACTGAATTCTGTGAAGCTGAACAAAATAATTTCAGATAAATAATAACATAATTTTTAATCCAGTTTTGTCTACAGTTTGCCTCATTATTAACTTTGTAAATGGCTTTACAAAGGAGGATATTTTATATCCTCCAAGAAAAATTAATGTTCCAGACGCAGAGGAGATTGAGGGAAAGTAGAGAAGTTAGCACAGATTATGGTGCCAGTTCAGTTCAGCCGCTCAGTCATGTCCAATTCTTTGTAACTCCATGGACTGCAGCAGGCCAGGCTTCCCTGTCCATCACCAACTCCCAGAGCTTGCTTAAACTCATGTCCATCGAGTTGGTGATGCCATCCAACCATCTCATCCTCTGTCATCCCCTTCTCCTGCTGCCTTCAATCCTTCCCAGCATCAGGGTCTTTGCCAATGAGTCAGTTCTTCCCATCAGGTGGCTAAAGTATTGAAGCTTCAGCAACAGTCCTTCCAATGAATAATTAGGACTGATTAGGATTTACTAGTTTGATCTCCTTGCAGTCCAAGAGACTCTCAAGAGTCTTCTCCAACACCACAGTTCAAAAACATCAATTCTTCAGTGCTCAGCCTTCTTTATGGCCCAACTCTCACATCCATATGTGACTACTAAAAAAACCATAACTTTGACTAGATGGACCTTTGTGGGCAAAGTGATGTCTCTGCTTTTTATTATGATGTCTAGGTTTGTCATAGCTTTTCTTTCAAGGAGCAAATGTCTTTTAATTTCATGGCTGCAATCACCATCTGTAGTGATTTGGAACCCAAGAAAATAAAGTCTGTTACTGTTTCCATTGTTTCCCCATCTATGGTGCCAGACTCAGGTTCAAATCCTGGCTCTGTTACTTACTAGCTGTGTAACCTTGGTCAAGTTATTTGACCTTCCTGTGCCTCAGTATCATCAGATCACAGTAATCTAATAGCAGTGCCCATTAGCAGTGTCTATGCATGCACTTGGTAGCACCCTGTAGAGCTATGAAAACATAAGTCATAATCATAAGAAGGCACAGCCAGAAAAAGGGAAAATCAGTGTATCTCAGGCACAGAAAATGGGAAATGAGTGAGTTTTGAACAGGAGGTGTGGTCAATATAGTCAGATGTTGCAAAGAGGTCAGGGCAAAGAGTAACCTTTGAGAGTGCCCTTCAGATGTGGTCTAGCATAAAATAAACCGGAATAAAATAGTTTCCAGTATTATACATACATATGTAGCATAGACATTCTGAGGACACACCCAAGATGCCCTCAAGATGCTTGAAAGCTTCATAGCTGTCAACTCCCAGCTTACATGAGGTTAACTTGTAGAGTAATAGCTTTATGTAGCTTTCTCCTTGGGCCCAAGGCCAGACAGAGATTTAACGCACATGCAACAGAAGCTCTTCTTTTGTCCCTTTGCCCCAGTGAAACCATACCTTCACTGCAATTTCCCAACACATAAACACTAAAAGGAGTTTCCTCCAAGTACCCCCCATGAAACAGTTTAAGTAAGTGGCATTCCACATGATTCTGTTTCATGCTCCCTCCGTTAATCCCAAGCATAACATCCTTTCTTCCCCTAAAAAGACTGGCTCCCTAATTCCTCCTCCTCAGCCTGACCTCTGAACATCAGCAAAATCTCCTAGCTGACTTTGCACATGCCTTAGAGAACTGGCAATCTATGTCTAAGAAACCCTCAGAAGTGCTTCCCGAAGGTTTAGCGGAATGACGTTTTCAGAGTTGCCACAAAGAACGATCCTACAGGCATCCACTGAGCATGTGAAACCACCACTGTTAACTTCTGAATGATGACACTGGCAGGTGAAAAGGGAAGTAAAGATACTTTATAGAAACTGTGTGTGTTTCTGAGTATATCTTTACTTGCTGAAATTAATGAGAATTTCTATCAAACGTAGAGCTAAAACACAGATCACCTCTTTAAAAACAATATCTCAAAGACTCTAAGAATTATATATTTTTATAATTTTTATATATTTTTCAGTCTATCGTAAGTAAAGACTCATGAGAGAATTTCCTTATATCTTTCAAAAACTTGACATTTTTTCTCCAAATTTCAAATCACTAGTTTCACCAAGTATCACATACCGGATATACAGGATTACTACTTGGATTTCCAAGAAAAAATAAAACTTTTTTTTTTTTAATAAAACTTTTAACTGTTAAGATCTACTACAATATTTTCAGTTATGCCAGGTACGGTTTACAAAATTAAGATGAATAGATATTACCTTTTCTGTCAAAAAATTCAATCAGTGCTGAACTCTCCTCAGGGAAATATTCAATGCTGGCAACTCTTCCCCCTCCATTATGAGGATTTTCAAATAAACATTTTAAATCACTGTCATGAACACCAGGTGGCAGGTTTTCAACTCGAATTGTTCTTGTCACTTCCAGAAGTCTTGCAGAAAGCTGAAGTTTTTTCACTGAATGGTGCTTGGGACATTCACCAACAAATTTCAAGGCATCTACAAACCATAATTAATCAATCAAAAAATTATATCTTTATATTGTATAGAAGAAACTGTCTGAAGATTAATTGAGAAAAAGGAAGCAGGCTAAGCACTCAATTTTTAAATGCAAGATTTTAATTCCCACAGGAGAATCTATATGCCTATAGATTCTCTGGAAGCTTCTGAAAAACAGTGCAAACAGGAATGTCTTACCGGGATTGCTGACACTGAGTCATGTCCCTGCCTTTAGTCATAGCTCTCTCCACCCCTCCTTGACATCACTACCTGAATGCATCTCTACAACACAAATCTTATTTCACTCTTTCCTCAAGTCCTGAAATGGCTCCCCATCACTTGCAGGCATGAGTTTAAGCTCCTTAGCGAGGCTTACAATGCCCTTGGCTATCTGACCCCAAACTAATTTCTAAACATCACCCCTGTTTATTACCTCCATTTATTTTATTTTCCATATTGTCACACAACCCAGTCATTCTTTCAAAAACTCCATTCTCTCTTGCCTTTGCATATATAATTCCCTGCGCCTAAAATGCCCTTCTCCAAAGTTTTCATCCTGCTCCTGTTCCTCCTTCTGGACTCAGTCCAATTACCTCTTTCAAATTATTAGATATTGATAGTTGAGTCCATGATGTATAAGACATCATGCTAGGATCTGGGGATACAGGGATGAATGTAACAGGTCCTTGAAAGTTCACCATCCAAGAGGGAAGAAGTCTTGAAAGCAAACAAATGGCCTATTTGGGGATCAAATGAGATGGGAAAACTAAGACTGGGAATCAGACAAGGATTCCCAGAGTAAGTAGTCACTGATCTGAGTTTTGAAGGATGAAGAAGAGTTTATCAGGGAGATAAGGGGAGGAAGGGGCTTTTCAAGTGGCTCAGTGGTAAAGAATCTGCTTGCCAGTGCAGGAGACTGGGGTTCAATCCCTGGGTTGGGAAGATCTCCTGGACCCACTCCAGTATTCTTGCCAGGATAATCCCATGGACAGAGGAGCCTGACGGGCTACAGTCCCTGGGTTTGCAAAGAGTGGGACATGACTGAGCAACTGAGCACGCAAAGGGAGGAAACGTTTCGGGTACAGGGACTAGTAGGGTGTATAAACAGCCCAGCATATCTGAGATCTGGTAGCCTGTTACTTCCGGAGTACAGACATCAAAGAAAACCAAGTCACCACATTGGGTCCCCTTTCCTCCCATTCCCCACAACCTGCTGTTCACAGCTGAGAAAAGCAGCTTTTCCTCCTGCATCTTCATTACTGACTTATGAATGGGTTTCTTCCTGCCCCATATGAGTTCCTCAAGAGCCAGAACCAAGAATTATTCACCTTTGTACCCACAGCTCCTAGACTAGTACCTCACACCTAGTAGGTATGCAAGATTTTTGTTCAGTGAACAAAAGCAAGTCGACTTAGTTTTACCTTTATAAGAAATAATCATAAATTTGAACCTGTGCTGGTTAAGATCAACCATTCCACTGCCATGACCATGGAATAGTGAGGGCTTGGAATTGGAAAATTTCCTTGTCTTCCGCAGATAACTCTTCCAATTTCAGAAACTTTCCACAGACTCCCCACACAGACCTTAAAGAGCATGCACTTTCTGCAGCACCTGCATTTACTCATCCCTGCATATATGATAACCATGCAAGTACTAAGGAAATATATGGTAAAGGGAATAAGAGAACAGGCTCTAAAGAGGTGGGCTGCCTCAGTTCAAGTCTAGCTCTTCCAGGTACTAGCATCTCTGTCTCCCCCACTGTAAAATGAGGGACAATAATGACCTCAGAAGGTTGTTGAAAGGAACAAATAAATTGATACATGGAACAGAGTTAGCATAGTACCTGACTTACAGTAGCACTATATGAATGTTTACTGCTATTACTATTACTCTCCAATAAGTCCAGTTAAGTAACACAGATCAATATTTACTCCTCTCAGTGAGATAACACACAGGCAACAATGAGTCCTCTGCTTGGAATCTCTTTAATAACCTGAGACTTTAGATTTCTATTTGGTGTGTTACTTCTGTCTCACTCCTCTCTCTGTCTGCTTCTCTTTCTCACACACACACACACATGCACACATACACACAACTCATACAATAAAGTTTATTAAACATAGCAGAATTTGGTTTCAAGATTAATTTGCTTCTCTTTCAAAATAAGAAATCAATATTAACTTACTAGCTACTAGAGAGGCTTCCCTGGTGGTTCAGATGATAAAGAATCTGCCTGCAATTCAAGAGACCCAAGTTTGATCCCTGGGTCAGGAAAATCCCCTAGAGAATGAAATGGCAACCCACTCCTGCCTGAAGAATTCCATGGACAGAGGAGCCTGACATGCTATTAGAAAGAATGAAGCTTTCAGAGATGTTCCATAAGCTAGGTGTTCCAAACCCCAAAGTGTAATGCAAAGAAGGCTGACAAATGGAGCATCACTTGATCTTACCGGTATTCGTCTGAAAGGTAACTACAGCCATATTAAAGTCTCGTATAAATTCCAATTTAAAGTCATCATTCGTCAGTCCACTTATATTCTCCACTAACAAGAGTAACATCACATCAGTCACATCTGCCATGAGATTTTCAAATGCAACCAAAGAGGAAATATCTTCACATTCTTTCAGGGTGTCTTCCTCTTTTTCTGATCTTCTACTGAGAGAGAGGTCTTCCTCTAGTTCTTTTGATGCATCTGATTTTAGGGAGACAAAAGGGTACAAGATGTTAGATTTATCTATCATGTTCTTAGCAAAATAAATTACCATAGGCTAATATGTAAAATAAATAGCCAATGGGAATTTGCTATATGACTCAGGGAACTCAAACCAGGGCTCTGTAACAACCTAAAGAGGTGGGGTGGGGAGGGAGGTGGAAGGGAGGTTCAAGAAAGAGGGGACATATGGATACCTATGGCTGATTCATGTTGATGTTTGACAGAAACCAACAAATACTGTAAAACAATTATCCTTCAATAAAGAATAAATAAATGTAAAAAACTTATCACAGGCTAATTACACTGCCTTCTTCCTTTGTAACTTGTAACACAAGTTACACAAGTAACATGTCAATTATATCTCAATAAAACTAAAATAAAGAAAGATTAAGAATTGGGGAAAAATGGATCTTAGAAGACTTTCAGCTTAACTTAGTTAAAAATAAAAAGTAGTATTTGATATGATGCTGATCATGATTATGTTCAGTTTTATTACACTCTTTTCTGCCTTGTTTCTCTGAGGAACCTGCCTTGCTTTTCATAACACTTGACATATATTTCTATCACAGCACCATATTACAATAATTTCCAATCACTGGAGAGAAAAAAGGATTCTTACAGCGAATGACTAAGGAATGCACATGGAAGATAAAATGGCACAGAGAATTATGTGTATACCTCAAACTTATGGAATAGCAAACACCCCAGTCAGCTTGTACCTCTCCACTGTGACCATAAAGAGTTACATATATAGTTGACCCTTGAATAACATGGGTTTTAGGAGCCCAACCCCCTGCATAGTCAAGTATCTGTGTATAACTTTGACTCCTCAGAATCCTAACTACTAATAGCCTAATGTTGCCCGGAAGGCTTACTGATAATGGCTGAAATCTAGGAAAACATAAGAAACACAGACTTCATTAATTCCAGAAATGGTACAGATATAAATGTACTACAAATATAAAACCACTTTATGGTACAAAATTCAGCTTGAAGGTACAGCATACAAGGAATCTTTCAAGAAACAGATAAAGCTTTAGGGAGTCACAGTGAACAAATACTGGGAGTTGGGCGAGCCATATCTGAAGAACAGAAAGCAGAACTTCCTCTAAAGAGACAAAAAAATTCCTGTCTCATAAGAAGCAGGAGCTTCTCAACCATGCATACAATATTCTACAGTTTAATAGTACATTCATGTTAGGTAAAAACAACCTATACATTCCTATCCAGGCATTTTGCCAAGTTAAGGCAGTTCTCATCCCATAGCCATTTTCAAGGAAAGTTGCAAAAATCTAAACATGTTCTTAAGAAAATTTCAATTTTAGAGGACAATATTTAAACTTTTCTTGGGAATTCCTTTTCCCTAAGGTTTGGATATATGGATCACCTTCTCTTTCCCGCTTGGCCATTTAGCCCAGTTCATCTTCCTCCCATTTAGAACAGCATGCTTAGCCAGGAAAACTTGTGTCTTCTTTAACAAACGTCAGGTGGCACGCAGGCCAACACCCAGGCACAAGTCAAGTAGCAGAGTCCACAATAGCTGCTGGATTGCTGGCTGTTTCCTACATCAGATGTGATAAGTGCTGATCTGGAGGGCTGCACTCATATCCTGCACCCAGTGCTCAGAAAGCAGTGCCAACTGACTTAGCTGCATACAACTCCCACTGTCATGTCATGTCCCTGCTTCTCAACAGGTGATTGGGCATAGGTAGACTCTAAAGGTCACTTCATCCACCTACAGGTACCTCTTTATTCTCCCATCAATTGCAAGGTACTCTCAGTCCCCACAGAGAGAGTTGTTCCCATCCTTCTGATCTGAACCCTTAGAACTCAAGAGGCAGCCACTGAGCAGATGGCTGAGAGGATAGAGATGATGCAGCCCAAAGCATCTCTCAGCTGAGCAAACCCTGCCTTATGAAGTCAACAAGAGAAGGGTGACCTCTGTAATGCAAAGTGTTTAGTAAAAACAAAACTGCCTGATAAATGGAAGTTACCTGATTCTTCAACCTGTTCTTTGGTCTTGGATTCCTGAAATCCAAACAATAAAGTAGCATTAATAAATTACTAATAATTTATTTACATTAAGAAAATGTCCCTAGGGCCAGCCTGAAGATGTAGGGTCTACAGAAATGATAACTAAAAACTCAGGCAATGATGCTATTGAATATACCTCACATTTCATGGCATATCCACTTAGCACACAAATCACAGGTAAAAATGAGTCACAAAACTCCAAAGGAACACCAAATGTTGGTGGTAAGACCTAAATCAGAGAAATAATGCAGCTCATGTTCTTTTCCCTATTTAACAATTATTGAGTGTTTACTATTAACAAGCATTTGGTCAAGTGCTTTACTGTGTCATTTAATCCTCACAACAATACAATAAACCAAAGAGGTCAACACTATTACTATCCCATTTTACAACTGAGGAAATACTTAATACATGGAGTATAGATCACTCACCCCTCTAAACCATGTAAAAATAAAACAAATATGGCAAGTTCCAGGTTATTAGGTACTTAGGATGAACGAACCCAAGATTTTACAACTCAAACCATCATTATTGTTAGCTCCTCAATCTTGAATTTTCAAAACAAAGAAAAAGTGCTTCCTCTCCCATTACCCCATCACCACTCTCACTCCCTCCACATCTATAAATTGCTTTTCTCACCCCAGTGCAAGTTATACTTCTCATTCCACTATGTTTTCCTCATCATTGTTCCCATCCCCACATACCTTGGGAGAACACCTGACTTCCCTTGTAATCACCACTATACTTACCTTTGTGGGAATTTTCCCCTCCTGGACTTCATCTGGGACTGTGGGAAACTGGACAGTTAACTTGAATGTTCCTTTTCCTGGCCATTCTAACTCATGGCTCTCTCGCTCCAGAACTCGCTGCCGAACTGAAATTTTTTAGAAAAGCTGTTAAGCAATCTTTATTAACAAAATTATTCTATGATTTCCATAGGTTTCATCATCATCTGTCAGTGGCCTGGTCAACTTCTCAAGAGAGGCTATGTATGATGGAAAGAGGAAAAGTTTAGCAAGCAGACACAGATTTGAATTCTATCTTTAAATTTCCTTTTTATTATTTTTTTTAACCCTGAGCATGTTCCTGAATAAGCTTTACTGACAAAATCTGTTTTCTTGTCTATTAATTAATGAAGACTATCTTATGTGTTACATGGATTAGACTGAAGAAACATCATAAAGAACTTAGTACAGTACCCTTTGCTCAGTGGGCACTCAGAAAGGTAGCAATATTTGTTCTACAATGAAGGGAAAGAATTAAAGCATCTCTCACTGTGAACTACTGATACTAAGATATGACATTATGAAAACCATGTTTTAGAAAAGTGGCTCAGCTGACAATGAGCAGAATGGAGAGCAGCCCTCTTAAAAAGGTATTTCAATCAATTATTTAACCTGTGATAAGAGCCTTACCTAGGATAGTAAAAGGAATAGCAAAAGAGGGATGGGAAAGATTCTTACAAAATACAAAAAAGAATTAGCACATTTGGCATCTGAGCTGTAGTGCAAAAAAAAAAAAAAGAACAGTGGACATAAGTTTAAAGACCTTAATTCAAATTCCAACTCTGCCATGAAGTAGCTGAGTCACTGAGAAAATATTTTAACCTCTTGAGTCTCAGTCTCATAAAGTGAAGCAGTGTCTGTGAATGAATTTTGTGATACCCATAAGAGCAGCTAGAGAGAGAAAGGAAAATCAGAGACCATGGTATCTGAGACCATGGAGAACAGGGAGCGGCTGAGCTTAGAGGGGAAGGCATGGCCAACATAGGCAGGTGGCGCAAAGAGGTCAGGGTGAAGGAGAACCTTTGGGAGTGCCTTGCAGTCACAGGTGTGGCTCTGTCATGGATGTTGGGCTGCCAAGTTGTATTCTGATGTGGTTGCCTGCTGAGGCCAAAGATATAAGCAGAATCTTTCATTAAGAAGGGTTTGAGGGATGTCCCTGGTGGTCCAGTGGTCAAGAATCTGTCTGCCAATGCAGAGAACACTGGTTAGATCCCTGGTTTGGGAAGATTTCGCATGCCTTGGGACAACTAAGCCCGTGTACCACAGCTATTAAGCCTGAGCTCCAGAGCCCTGGAGCCACAACTGCTGAGCCCACATGCTTCAGTTACTAAAACCGAAGCACCTAGAGCCTGTGTTCCACAATAAGAGAAGCCACCGCAACTAGAAAAAGCCCATGTACAGCAATGAAGACCCAGGGCAGCCAAGAAAAAATATATATATATTTTTAAAGAAGGTCTTGAGTAGCTTTCCCACTTCAACCATCCATGAAGAGGATGAGGGAGGTGATGCCTTCACTGGATGCCACCTCAGAAACAGGCCTCAAAAACAATGAGATGGAATGCCAGACTCTAATTTCACTCTTTATGAGGAGGGTGAGTGTTTTTGCATGGACACATAATGGGCTGTCCTAAGCTGAAGTGAGGACTAAGGACCGGATAAGACCCCTGAGCCCAGACAGCAGGCTGTTTTGTAAGCCAAACTATCTAGAGTCATGGACCTCTGTGTTGCATTCCGTATAGTTTGGAAAAGTCCTATCCAGGCATCTACATGTGTCAACCTATTCTGAGATTGTGTGTAATATGTATGGGCATGATTATTTTAAGAGAACAGATGGTAGCAGTGTCAGTAAGTGATCCAAAACAAGGAGAAGGTGAATCTGGGAGGAAAAGAGATAAAATGGTGACGTCTAACCACCCTTGGACTTCCTGGTAGCTCAGTGGTAAAGAATCCACCTGCCAATGCAGGAGACATGGGTTCGATCCCCTGGTGAAGGAAATGGCAACCCACTCCAGTATTCTTGCCTGGAGAAACCCATGAACAGAGGAACCTAGAAGGCTACAGTCCCTGGGGTCACAAAGAGTCAGCACAACTTAGGAACTAAACAACAACCATCATCACCTTTACCATGTGGACAGGCTGTTTTGTGCATCAATCTCAGACCATCCATAAGTAATTATATTTAAGGAGAAGTTGGGTTCCCTTACCTCAAAGAAGCTGACAATAATGAGTCAAATTATGACCAAAAAAAGATGACAAATATGCACATCTGAAACAGAATTTTAAATCTCACAAGTTAATTTACACTTGACTTTCCAGAAATTCAGCCAATTATATAAAACAATAGAGCTTCCAGATAGTTTGCTTCCTATCCACTAATTTCTACAGAGAAGTGCTTTGGGGCTCATTCTTCTTAAGTAAAGGATAACGCCCAAGCTGTGTTACACTATGGGCCTGCATCTGTTGGGGCCATTTCCTGTTGTGGAGTGCAGAGGGTGTTGCCGAGAGAGAAGAACTCTGCCCTTGGGGCAATGATGGGGTAAGTCATTCGATGTTTTCTAACTCCTGACCATGTGCTGTTGAGAAAGCTATTCCTCTGGTAGGAAACCAAAACTGAATAGGGACTTTCCACTCCCTAAGAACTTTGACCATACAAAGATTTGAGTTGAACTAAGTTTGAGTGTCTGTGCAAGGGGTACTGCAAGAGGGACATTCGAGAAGTCTAGGGGTGGAGGAAGGGAGGAAGTGGGCTGGGAGGTAGGAAGGAAGAAATCCGGCAGGGAAACTGAAATCATTTCTGCTTTGAGAACTAGAACAGAGTGATATTATCTTCACACAATTATATTTTTGCTGTTTGTATTTTTATGAGGTTTGTATTTCCTACAATCATTTCTTTTTGTTCAGAGTCATCAAAAAACAACAGGGATTCTCAAATTTTAATGCTGTGCTAAGTTATTTCAGTCATGTCCAACTCTTTGCGACCCATGGACCATAGCCCACCAGGCCCCTCTGTCCATGGGATTCTCCAGGCAGGAACACTGGAGTGGGCAGCCATTTCCTCTTCCAGAGGATCTTCCTGACCCAGGGATTGAACCCATGTCTCTTATGTCTCCTGCATTGGCAGGTGGGTTCTTTACCATTGCACCACCTGGAAAGTCCCAAACTTCAGTGAATTGGGGTTAAACATGCAGATTCTCACCCACTCCATCCTCAGGGTACCTGAGTCTCTAGGACAAAGTTGGAAATGTGCCTGTTAACCTGTTGCAATTTGGATGGAGGGGGTCTGTGGCCCCAATTTGAGGACAACTCTTGAGGATAATGGAATTCTAAAGAAGAAAGAAGTGTCCCTAAAGGGCAGGCTGGTGGTGATGTTGACAACTGGAATCAAAATGGTAAAACCCTGTGAGGAAAAGTGAAGCGGCGCTGGGGGGTGGGGGTGGGGNGGGGTGGGGGAGAGACTTACATTGCACAGATACCCTTTAGAGCATTTCTTGGTGAAATTAATCCTTGGAAAACTTTTTGACATTATTTTAAGGGCTCTGAGTCAAGCTCGTCTCCTGATCCATGCCCACATCTCTTGTGTCACACTTCACAGGGATTCACCTGTGAATTCATTTCTATTTTGGGGTTTTATTCTTTCATTTTTACATCCCTGCCCTTAATTAGTTAAGTCGTTCAGTCGTGTCCAACTCTTGCAACCCTGTGGACTGTAGCCCACCAGGCTCCTCTGTCCATGGGATTTTCCAGGCAAGAATACTGGAGTGGGCTGCCATTCCTTCCCTGCCCTAGAGCATTCCAATTGTTCTCAGGGCTTCCTAAGCCTCTAAGCTTGAAAGTGAAAGTCAGTTGTGTTCAACCCTTTGCGACCCTGGACTGTACAGTCCATGGAATTCTCCAGGCCAGAATACTGGAGTGGGTAGCCTATCCCTTCTCCAACAGATCTTCCCAACCCAGGAAGCAAACTGGAGTCTCCTGCACTACAGGTAGATTCTTTACCAACTGAGCTATTAGGGAAGCCCCGTTCAATTACCTATGGGGAGGGAATTTCCCCCTGAAAACTCAATCAACTTAGAATATCACTCCTTCCTTCCCCATCTAAAAAATAAGAGATACAGAAAATGTCCATATAAATTTTTATTTAAGTTGGATGATTTTGAGATCTCCTCTGTAAAGAGGAAAGAAAAACAAAAACTGCAGTTCCCCATAAGTTTTTTAAAATTATATACTATATTTGCAGTAATATTCTGAGTGAACTGTAAACAGGAGGTAGAAGAATAATGCTTATGTCAAGTCCTAATACTACAGTAGAAAAATGGAAGCAATGCAAATAAATTTTTTTCCAAAATGTAAATAAATAACAGAAAGCACAGGGGCTCTCTCTCTCCGTCAAGTGAACACCTATTTTTCCTGTAGAATCAGCTACAAGATCCAGAACAGTAGAAAGAATGCATCTTTCATCCCCATGCTAACTTTCCTTATTCAAGGCCTCACTGGTCCTCACTTGGACATGGCATGATCTTCTTCAGATCTAATGTCCAAGGTCTCTCCCAACAGAAATCACTGTATTATTTGCATCCAAATTTATCTCCTGAAAAGTGTATGGCCCTCCATTGCCTACGTGTGGGGGAAAGTTCATACTCCTTAGCATATCATGCAAGGCCCTCTCTCATCTCAACCCAACTTTCTATTAGTCTTAATTTGCACCCCACTTCTTTGTAAAAAGGTTTAATGAGAAGGCCTAAGATTTTTAAAATTACAAGCATCCTCTTTGTAATCTTATAAAATTGCCCAAACCCCACATGTTCTTTTCATGTTGGTCTCCAGAACTCGCATGTGCACAGGGATAAAGAGAGGGCGCACTCCTCAAACCAAAGCTACCCCCGGGGAGCTGGGCACTTCCCTCGAGAGCCTTTGTTCTCCTGCCCCCAGCACTGCCACCAGCTCCCATCTGAACAGCCCTCGCCTACATCTCACCTCTCAAGAACTGAATTCACTCTAAGGAGTCAGTTTAGATGTGACTCTCCCAGGAGACTCTCTTTCCTTCAAATTGTGTTCAGTTGCTCCATTGTGTCCGACTCTCTGCGACCCCATGCACTATTGGGGCCCTCCAGGCTCCTCTGTCCATGGGATTTCCCAGGCAAAAATACTGGAGTGGGTTGCCATTTCCTTCTCCAGGGGATCTTTCCCACCCAGGGATCAAACCACATCTCCTGCACTGGCAGGTGGATTCTTTAATACTTGGACCAGGGAAGTCCAAGGGTGGTTAGACATCGGCAGTTCAGCACTTCTTCTTGTTTTGGATCACTTACTTCAAATTGTGTTCCCATGAAGCTCTGGAGTTTCAGAACTGCCGCTTTCATAGGAAGAAGACAATGGCATTGCAACTCCGCCATTAACACACGATGCCACTGCACGATGTAGCCCTGTAAAATGTCCACCAGCTCTCTGGCAGCCCCCTTCAGTCATACCGTGAGTGAGTGAAGTCGCGTCCGACTCTTTGCAACCCAGTGGGCTGTAGCCCACCAGGCTCCTCCGTCCATGGGATTCTCCGTCCATGGGATTCTCCAGGCAAGAATACTGGAGTGGGTTACCATTTCCTTCTCAAGGGGATCTTCCCAACCCAGGGGTCGAACCCGACTCTCCCACATTGGAGGCAGACGCTTTAACCTCTGAGCCACCAGGAAAGCCCTTCAGTCACACCGTGACTGATGTTTATTTCACTCACCTGCGCTGGCTGCCGCACCTCCTGCAGCGCCTGGAAGCGCAGCGCAGGCGGAACTGCGGCGCCCTAGACCACCTCGACCACCGTCTATTCTGCGCCTCGCACCCCATGGGCTTAACTATACTGGCTGCCGAGCCGGGCGGATTCTCCCGCCGTGCCCTCGAGCCCCAGATTTCCCTGGAAGAAGAGCCCAGCTTGCCCTCTCCCCCGCACCCCTGGCCCCTCTCACCGTCGTCCGGGTAGAAGAGCACCAGGAAGCGGTTCGAGCTTCCCGGCACCTGGCAGACTTCACACTCCCCGCCTCCTGATCTCTTCCGGCTCTGGAAGTACATCTGCAACTTGGTGCTCAAGTTCTTCGGGGGCTGGGAGCCCCAGGACCCTTCGACCAGCAGCGGGAAGGAGCCGGCCGCAGCCATCCTCATCTGCCGGCCCAGCTCGGACTGCCGGTTCCTCCCCGACTACCAGCTGTTAAGCCTCTTTCGCTTTCGTTTCCCAGAACACTCCTCCTGCCGTTAGTTTCTGCCTTTGGCTGTAAACGGCTGGCCCAAGTTGGACTAGAAACCACCATTTCCCTCACTCCGCCTCCCATCCTTCACTTTTTCATCCGTGAACCATGGCAGAAGCTGGCATCGCCTTGGGGCTTCCCTCCATCTTTATACCCGCGACCCTAAGCTCAGGCACCATTTGCTACTCACCTAAGCCGCAGATGAAGTCAGCCGCTCTGAGTCACTAGANAAAAAAAAAAAAAAAAAAAAAAAAAAAAAAAAAAAAGCTTCATTTTTGCCCCAGGCCGCCATTTTACAAACTGTGATTCTTTAGAATGTTTGGGGCCCATTTTCAGCCTTCTTTCAACAATTGTCAGAATTTTACCTTGCTTCCCTACTTTTGCATTTTGTTCCTTGACCTGTTAATATTCTATATTTAGAAATGAGGGGAACAGTACATTAACAGCTGTTTTTAATAGAAATTTTTATAGGTGCCATGCACTCTGAATGGATTGGACAGGCAGACACAGTCTGTGCCCTCACTGAGCTCATGAAACCATGGGGACACAAGGACTTAGAACACAGTGGAGTAAGTGTTGTTGGAAGGAATATGCAGGTGTTCCCAGAACAAATCAGGCCTCCTAGCCTAGGTATGGGGGGCTCAGGGAGGGTTTATGGGGAGGAAACATGTAACCTGAAGCCTAAGGATGATTACAGATAACCCTGGGCATTGGGCAAGAGGGGAGTTCCACGTGATATGCTTGTATGGGATCCCTTGAGCTGCTCTGAGGTAACCAGAGTAGAGGCAGGGGGCCAGCCAAGTGGCTGCTGTAGTGTCAGGTGGGAAATGAGGGTGGCTGAGACCAGGGTGCTGGCCAAGGAGGACTGAGAAGGGCTGGGGTTCCAAATTGATACTGGGCTTGCCGAAGGATGTGGGCAACAAGAGAAGACACTCAAGCATGACTCCCTGTTCCTCCATGCATGGCCTGAGCAACTGACTAGATAAAAGTGGCATCTATTCAATGGGAGCATTAAGGTGAGAGAGAGGCTAGGATTGTGTGTATCCTTGACCTTGACCCGAAGTGAAGGAGTGTTTCAAATACAAAGGAGGGATCATCATTCAAATACAACCAGTACATCAGGTGAGAGAAATGTCTATTGGACTCTGAGTACCTGGTAAGCAGTGTCTTCTGGTGAGGAGGGAACAGAGGGCGGTGGACAGAGGACCGAAGGGAAGGGAAGGGATTGGAGACAGTAAGCGTTGTCAGCTCTTTCTGGATGTGTGACTATGAAAGGGAAGAAGTTAGACAGCAGCTTACAGGGTTATAGGATCAGGGAATTGTTATTTTTGTTTTTTGGCTTTTAAAATATGTTTAAGATGGAATTGAAGAATCTTAGAAATGTTTAAATACTGTTAGAAAAGTAAAAGGAAGGTCTAGGAAGTAGGTTGTGGGAGAAGGCGGGAGGGAATCCTACAGGCACTAGCCCAAAGAGGGGACCCTTTTCCTACTGCACCAGGAAGGAGGAGCTAGAGTACAGAAGTTAAATTGTTGTTAGTGGCTAAGTCGTGTCTGATTCTTTGTGACCCCATGGACTGTAGCCCACCAGGCTCCTCTGTCCATGGGATTTTCCAGGCAAAATACTGGAGTGGATTGCCATTTCCTTCTCNCTGATTCTTTGTGACCCCATGGACTGTAGCCCACCAGGCTCCTCTGTCCATGGGATTTTCCAGGCAAAATACTGGAGTGGATTGCCATTTCCTTCTCCAGGGGATCTTCCTGACCCAGGGATTGAACCTGCATCTCCTGTGTTGGCAACTGGATTCTTTACCAGTGAGCCACTAGAGAAACACGGAGTACAGAAGTAGATGATTCTGAATGACTGCTGATAGGAAGGTCTGGAAATTCTCTCCTGATGGATTTTGTTTTATCTGTGAAGAAGGTGATGAGGCCTCTTAGAATCTGCCAAAAGTAGAGCTTCTATTCCCTGCAGGGCTGGACCTCATGTATCATATCATAATGAAACTAAATTTCAGGAAGAGAACCAGAGACGGACCAAAGAGTTTGTGTTAGTCTCTCAGTCATGTCGACTCTTTTCCATCCTACGGACTGCAACCTGCCAGGCTCCTCTCTCCATGGAATTCTCCAGGCAAGAATACTGAAGTGGGTTGCCATTTCCTTCTCCAGGTGATCTTCCGTACCCAAGGATCAAACCCAGNGGCTCCTCTCTCCATGGAATTCTCCAGGCAAGAATACTGAAGTGGGTTGCCATTTCCTTCTCCAGGTGATCTTCCGTACCCAAGGATCAAACCCAGGTCTGCTGAGTTGCAGGCTGATTCTTTACCGTTACAGGGCTTTTATTTCTGATCCATAGTAATGCTAAACAGTATTCAGATATTTTCTCCTACTTTCAGCTTTCCTCCTGCAGGTGGCGCTTGTCATCCAGTCCAAACCATCCTGGACCCCAGTAGGAGGAAGTGGGGAGTACGCAGAAGGGCCCCTCAGGGCTTTCAGGCACACAGTCATTAGGAGAAGCACGCTGAGTGAAACTGCCCACCCTGGCCAGTCACCATAGTATCTATTTGCATGAGCTGTTTTACCATGGGAGGTTCTGGTAAGGAACACAGAACTAATAATCCACCACCAACCAGAAGAGTTCAGGAAAGGTCAAAAGGAGACACCACATGTCCAAACACCTCCCAGAATCCTTCTCTTTGGCATCCATCTTGGCTGAACAAGGCGTGCACCACCAGGAAGGACTCTGAGTCAGAAGGATTGGTTAAAGACAACCCGGAAACTAATCCCATCACCACAAAACCCCTGAGACTTTGAGCCACGTGGCAAAGCAGTTCTCCTGGGTTCCCTTACCCTACTGCTCTCTGCCCAGGCACCCTTTCCCAATAAAATCTCTTGCTTTGTCAGCACATGTGTTTCCTCGGACAATTCATTTCCGAGTGTTAGACAAGAGCCCAGTTTCGGGTCCTGGAATGGGTCCCTCTTCCTGCAACACACTGGTGACTGTTTCCTTTCAGGGCATTGGCACCTTTCATTCCAAACCACAGCTCAAATTAGCACCCTCCTCTAACCAGTTTGGGAATCCAGAACTGGGCAAACAGCTTTATCCTTTTCCTTACACCATCTTTTTACAAAAAGTAAAATCAGAGTGAAACTGAAACTGTAGTAGAAGTTGTGGCAAGCCATTTCTGGATTTTTTTTTCAAGAATTGTTTTAATTATTAGCAGTGTATTTTGTCACACACGGTCTGCTCAGTGTTCCTTCTCTATGTCACTGGAAAGAATCTATCAGAGGGATCAGGATGTCAGGTGTTAAAAGCCAAAGAGAAAAATAATTCTAGGAGTAACAACTTGCAAGCATCATTAGCCCCTGAAGTACTTTGTCTTTTCTCCTCAGTTGTTTAGACTACTTCCGCTGGTTGAACCCACACCCTCCCCCCTCCAGCAGTGTGCTTACTCTCTCTCAATTCTTTGTCTCCATGGGGTGTTTGCTTCCTGAAACTCACTTCCTTCCAAGAAAGCAAGCATCCTGTCAGGGCCTGGGCGAGAGCAGACTCCAGCGGAGATGTGGCCACGTTTACATGGCTGTTCTTTGTTTCTCTTGCCAACTAAGAGTCACACATGATCTTAATAGAACAACCCCTATCTGCATTTTGGGCTGAACTTCCCTTTCTCCACTTCATCTAAGTTTCCACTTTCAACTTCTCTACAAACTTCTAGAACCTAACATCAGCCTCCTTTCAAGTTCTCTACCAGCCAGCAACAGTTCCCCACCTGCCCTGCCACCCATTTCTCCCACTGAAGTATACACTGGGAAATGGGTGGCGTTCCCATCTGTCCTGAATCAATGAGTTGTGAGCACCTCATATCCAACTCTTTACCTCATTTTGCTCCCGAAACTGCTTCCATAAAAAGGATGTGACCTGAGAAGTGAGGTAAGCTACCCTGCCTTTTACCTCTTCAAGTTCAGTCCTCAAGAGAGTCACCTGATGGACACACACCAGGTGGTAGACTTACTCCCTGTGCTCTAGTCCCTTGTAGAAATTTCATCTTCAAACTTACACAGGGGATGTCTCCAATGCCCCCACTCTCTCAGTATAGTAATTCCTAATGTATATTTTCCCCAAATAAAAGTCATTTAAGGAGATCAAGGGCTTCCCTGTGGCTCAGCTGGTAAAGAATCTTCCTGCAATATGGGAGACCTGGTTTCGATTCCTGGGTTGGGAAGATACCCTGGAGAAGGAAAAGGCTACCCACTCCAGTATTCTGGAGAATTGGACTGTATAGTCCATGGGGTCTCGAAGAGTCAGACACAGCCGAATGACTTTCACTTGACTTGAATGTCCAGACCAGTGAAGCTAAGCTATGCATGCCAGATTGGTGAGGGATACACTGAGGATATACTTAAGTTTAGTNTGGCATATTGAGTGCAGCACTTTCCACAGCATCATCTTTTAGGATTTGAAATAGCTCAACTGGAATTCCATCACCTCCACTAGGTTTGTTCATGGTGATGCTTCCTAAGGCCCACTTGACTTTGCATTCTAGGATGTTTGGCTCCAGCTTGGTGATCACACCATTGTGATTATCTGGGTTGTGAAGATCTTTTTGTACAGTTCTTCTGTGTATTCTTGCCACCTCGTCTTTAATATCTTTTGCTTCTGTTAGGTCCATACCATTTCTGTCCTTTCTTGTGCCTTTCTTTGCATGAAATGTTCCTTTGGTATCTCTAATTTTCTTGAAGAGATCTCTGGTCTTTCCCATTCTGTTGTTTTCCTCTGTTTCTTTGCACTGATCACTGAGGAAGGCTTTCTTATCTCTCCTTTGCTATTCTTTGGAACTCTGCTTTCAGATGGGTATATCTTTCCTTTTCTCCTTTGTCTTTATCGTCTCTTCTTTTCTCAGCTATTTGTAAGGCCTTCTCAGACAACCATTTTGCCTTTTTGCATTTCTTTTCCTGGGGACGGTCTTGATCACTGCCTCCTGTACAATGTCACAAGCCTCCGTCTATAGTTCTTCAGGCACTCTGCCTATCAGATCTAATCCCTTGAATCTTATTTGTCGCTTCCGCTGTATAATCGTAAGGGATTTGATGGTGGCTCAGATGGTAAAGCGTCTGCCAACAATGCGGGAGACCCAGGTTTGATCCCTGGGTCAGGAAGATACTCTGGAGAAGGAAATAACAGCCCACTCCAGTACTCTCACCTGG